TTTAATATGCATTTGAACCACTTAGGGATCTCTGATTCAGTACGTGGAGCCCAGAAATGAGCTTTTCTGACAAACGTCCAGGTGCCGCTGCTGCTGCTCCACCAGCTGCCTGGGACTCGCTGCGCCGTCTGCACCGGGGTCCCAGCAGTGGCTCACTCGTAACTGCAGTGGGAGGCTGCCGTGCTGGGCGCCAGCCACCAGCCGGCACGCAGGCCTGTGACGCGCACAGCTGCAATCTGATCGTCTCACCGGCCCTGGGAGGTCAGCAGCAGTGCAGCCACGGGAGCCAACTGCCGTCTTGCCCGAGGTCACACAGTGGGTTGGTGGCCTTGAGCCTCGGCCTCTGATTCCCAGGCCCTGCCCTCTTCTCCTTCCCCCAGAGCCAAAAGACTGTTACAAAGTGTGAGCCCTGACAGCCGACTCTGCCAGCCTGGCCAAGAGCACCACGCTCCCACCACACTGTGTCATAGGTATTCCCATTTTACCAGGAGACTGAGGCTCGAGGGCTTAGAAACGTTGCATGAGGCCACTCAGTAGGTACGTGGGCACACTTGTCCCCTCCAGGACCAATAGTCCTCTGCCTTGTTCCTGGTTAGGCCTGTGTTGGGAAGGCTGCGGGTCACCCATCAGGCTGCAGGGGCCGAGGGAACAGGACAGGCTGCCCGGCCCCTCTGTGTGCTCTGCAGTGGGGTGGCCAAGCGGGCGGCAGGAAGCCAGAGCAAGTCCAGCCTTGGCTGGTGCCCAGCCCCCCATCGCCCCTCCCCGGCCCGCTAATCCCCTTAGAGGCCCGTCTGCCGCGGGGACCAATCAGGTTAGAGCGTGAAGGGGGATTAGCAGTGAGAACATGGGGTCCTGACCCCGGCTGCCCCGGCCCTGGCAGAGGCTGGGGGATTGGCAGAGCGTGCAGGAGCAGCGTGCCTGGGATGGCGCCACGCAGGGCTGGGGCTTGGCTGCCCCTTCTCTTGGGAGGGGGCCGGGGTGGCCGCCTGCTCCCGGACCTAGCAGGGGCTGCTGCTGTAGAGCTTGCCTCTTCGGGCCCTTGATCTGGGGTGGTGGGGTCCAGGGGTGTCTCTGCCTGAGGGACCCTTACCCTGAGCCCCGCAGAGTGGACTCTCAGGGGCTCCAGCTCATCTTCCTGTGGGGTCCCGGGACAGTCACTCTCCTTCCTCAGTGGCTGCCCAGACTTCCCTGCTGAGGCTGCTGGTGCTCCCTGGAGCCACCTGGAGGTGTCTGATCACGCGTACCCGTACCCGTCAGGACGCGTGAGGGGAGAGGCACAGTTGATAGAACATCGATTAAATAAGTGTGGGGTCGTCAGCCCAGTCAGGCGGAGCCGGGACAAGCACCCCAGGACACAGGTGCAGGCTGTGGTCTGGTGCTGCACAGCCCGTGTGGCCTGGAGGCCCTGTCCCCTGCTCAGCCACGCAGCCTGTCCTAACTCCTCGTTTGGACCAGGACAGTGCAGAGGGCTTGGAGCAGGAGAATCAGGTAAGGATCCACTTTCTTTCAATTCAGCAAAAAATTACCAAGCCCCAGCAATGTGCCAGGCCCTGGAGTATGATGCAGAGCAAAAAAGTGTCTGCCCTCAAGAAATTATGGTTTGTAGGGGTAAAATGGATATAAATCAAAAATCAGTATTTCATTACATTCAATACACTGATTTTATATTACAGTACTGACTTGGTTCTGGGAAGGGAAACAGCCTGTGGCAGAGGGAGCAGCCTGGTCAGCGCTCAGGGGAGGTGTCTAGGGACTGAGATGTGAAGGATGAATAGGAGTTTACTGGGTGAAGAGTGGGGGAAGGACATTCCAGGCAGAGGCACCAGCAAGTGCAAAGGTCCTGTGGCAGGAGGGGTCTGGGTAACTGAGGGAATGTCAGCATAGGTGGAGTAGCAGGGAGAGGTGAGAGCATACAGTGCCCTCACATCAGATCCTGCAAAGTAATGGCCACTTTCCATCCCCGTTTTGCAGATGAGAAAACGGAGGCCAGACAGGTTAAGTGATTTGCCCAAGACGCCACAATTTAAGTAGATGAGCCAGGGCTTGTTGAACCCAGGTCTCTACTGTGTCACTCAGCTGGGGCTTTCTCCGCTACACCCTGGCCTCTCTGTCTGTGTCCCCTGGACCAGCAGCATTGGCATCCCCTGGGTGCCTGTCAGAAATCTGGGATCCGTCCTCACCCTCAGAACCTGTCCCCAGCCCTGTGTCATCTCCCCAGCCCTCTCCCTGCCTGGCCTCTGAGCCCTTGTTCTGGACATCTGTCATGGTGCCCTCCTGAGCCCCTGTCTGCCCCCAGGGCTCAGTGCCCTCCCATCCTCCTGGCTAGGAGCAGACCACCAGCGGCTCCAGGCTTTGCTGTTTGTCCTTCCAGCTGTGGACCCTCCCTGTGCAGGATGGCCTCTCTCAGGATGTCTCACCCTGCCCTGACACCCCCAGCCATTCTGCCCCTTCAGGGCTGTGGCGAGGCCACCATGGAAGCAGGATGGGGCACAAATGACTGGGCTTGAGGGAGCTAAAGGAGCTCGGGGCCCCAGCAAATGTGATGGGGAAGGTGTAGGTGGTGCTTCTGCAGTCTCCACGCAGACTGGGTGCAATGCACTTGAGAAACGTTATTGCAGAGAGGTTCTGGAAAGACGACACAAGTGCTTGCCAGGTACAGAGTCAAATGGGACCAAAAAAGAAAAAAGTGCAAATAGCTAGCTTTGTTTTGGTTTGTGACATGGCGAAGGCATCCGCGTCCAGGGAAGGCTTATGGCGCCCCCTCGTGGGGAGTTTGGAAGCAGCCCCCGGAACTGTTGGCCGGGACTGGTCCTGGCAGCGGCGAGGGAAGGGATGGACTGGCAGCGTTTGCTAAATGGGGGTTCTTTTTCAGACGCTGAAATACAGGAACTCACATAATCTTCCCCCAAACCCGCGTGGTAGGTGTTCTTATGCCTGTCTCACAAACAGGACACCGAAGCTCTCAGGAGCCTGACTTCCCCAGGCCCGAGGCTGGTCGAGAGCAGAAGCAGGAATTGAGCTTAGTCCTCCTCAGCAAGTACTGGCTCTTCCACCACCCCCTTGGCTGCCAGCACGCCGCCCGTTCCTGAGACTTCCAAGGCTTAGCTGTTTCCCTCTGGCCTGGAGGCTGGCCTGTCCGGGGTCACAGATGCATTTCCGTCTGTCATTTGAGCAGTGGGAGCTGCTTCCTGCTGCGGGCGGGCTGGCTGGGCTGGGCCTGAACTTTCCTCATGGGGTCCGCTCCCCGCCCACCTTGGGACCCTCTTCTCGTGACCGGTTCTTGGCATCAGCATCACCAGGCACCTGCCTGCCTGTGTCTGGCCTCCGTATTCGTCCGTACCTCAGAGCAAATCACAGCCCTCTCTGGTCTATCCTGTCACCTTCCCCAGCCTGTGGGGCTTTTACCCCGACACTCTTCCCAGCACCTCTGCTGTCCCCAGCGCTCTGAGCCAGGCCTGTCCTGCCTGTGCTTTTGCACGGACTGGGCCTGCCCCAGGTCTGCCCTCCCCCACCCCCACTCAGTTCCTGACGAGAGTCCTTACAGAATGGCTTTTCTGAGCCGCACATTGATTCGATGCTATTATAAGAAGCATACACTTGAACCCCATTTATTACAAGGATCTGGTGTTATTGATTAGGCCACACTGTCATTTTTTATAAAGACTTCTGGGAAAATTCTTGTCTCGTCTCAGTGCCCAAACAGCAGTGCTCCTGAGAAACGGAGCCTTTTAAACTTATGTGTGTCTTGTGGACGCCGTGTGCTGGCCATTTCTCTCGTGTCCGCTCTCTGTCGCAAAGCTCAGAGCCCGGCCGCGGCCAGCGTGCGGGTCACCGGGTGCATGCTTTCTCAGCACTGCAATTGATTATTCTCTTGGCCCTATTTTTCACTCCCACTCTCTTGCTGTTTTGTAAATCCCTATGAAAGCCTTTGTGGAACAAAGTCAGGTCGAAGTCAATAAGCTAATCGATAGAAATAAAACCCTTCCTTGCAGAGCTGTGGTGAGGACTCGATGGAATAGTAAATATAAGTGTGGCCCAGGCTCTCTGGGGCCACTGTGAGGGTCCCAGTGGGGGTCCCGCCTTCCCACCTGTCCCCCACTGCCCCGACTCTGCGGGAGTCTCCAGGCCGCCCCCCCCAGCACGTGCGCCCAACTCCCTGACTCCCAGAGGGAGGGAGAAGGCGGGTGGCTGTGCCCATCTTCTCCCCAGCCCTCCTCTCCGAAGTCGTGCTGCCAGCAACTTCCCTCACCTCCTCTCTGGGATCCCCAAACCCCCAAAGAACCAGGCACCTCACCTGATACGGATCCTGGTCCATTCAGGCTGCTATGACGATGACCACATGCTAGAGGCCTATAGACAACAGCAATCTGTTTCTCACAGTTCTGGAGGTGGGAAGTCCAAGGTCAAGGTGCTGGCAGGTTCACTGTGTGGCCAGGCTGCTTCCCGGCTCATAGACGGCACCTTCTCGCTGTCCTCACGTGGTGGCTGGGACAAGGCAGCTCTTGGGGCCTCTTTCCTAAGGGCACTGATTCCATTATAAGTGTGGAGCCCTAGTGACCTCATCACTCCCACAGGCCCCACCTCTTAATACCATCACTTTGGGGATTAGGTTTCAACGCAGGAATTTGGGGCAGACACATCCCCATGATGCCGTGGGGGCTGGGCTGACCGCTGTGGGTCTGGGGGCAGGGCTGGGGGCTGGCTGGGCTGGGCACAGCTGGCCCGGGCTTCTCCCTCTGGCTGAACCCTCTGCCCAGAGAAGGGAGGTGGCTGGGGACTGAGCTCCCTCCAGGACAGTGTGCCTCTCTCCAGATCCATCCATTCATCCAACAAAAGCTTACCGAGTAGCCATTGTGTGCCAGGCACTGTCCCAGGTGTGAGGAGACAGCAGTGACTGGTCCAGGTGCCATCTGGCTCATATCTCCCTGACATGCCATGGCACTCTTGAAGCCTCTCTTCTCTGACTTGTGTTTCTTCTCCCTTTGGCTTTGCCCTCCCAGGGACTTGAGTGAGAATTCCATCCAGGCCGTCCCCAGGAAGGCTTTCCGCGGAGCTACAGACCTCAAAAACTTGTGAGTACAAACCTGGCAGGAAGAAGGGCACAGGGCCTCCAGGTCACCTCTGGCAGCGTCCTCTGGGGTCTCTCGGGTCTCCCAGAGCTGCGTGGTCCAGGCAGCCCAGGGTTGACCGGGGCTGTCCGATGGCTGGTGCCAGCACGGTCTTCTGGAACAACCTGGGGGTGGAGGAAACAGGCAGCATCTACCTCCCCTTCAGGCGTGATTTTGTGTGAGAGCCACTCAAATGCTCACAGGGGGGTCTTGGGGGCTGGGTTGGAAAGAGTGTTGAGAATTGTAGGGTGTGCGGGTCATGTTCACGTGGCCCAGTCTCTGTGCCCTTGTCCTGCAGTGCCCACCTCCTCTTTGGATGGGGAGAGCTGAGTGTAAATTTTCTCCTCTAGTTAAACATCGTATAAGCTGCTGCAAGTCAGCTAACTTCACTGAGCCTCGATATCCTGTTCTGGAAAATGGGGATGATAATATCTGCCTCACAGGCTTGTTCCAAGGCTTAAATGAGATATAGAAATGAATGCACTCTGTCAGGTGCTATTTAAATATAATGGATTATTATTATTCAAATGTCATCTAGTCCAGGCTTACACCTTCCTAAGATCTGACTACAGCAGGGATGGCAAATCCCGGCATGCTTGTCACACACACCCCCTCCCATGCCCGTGGCAGACATTGGTAATCTATCACCGCATTCTTTCCCACAGAGCTCACGTCGCAGCTTCAGTTTTTCTGAAAGCAGCACTCCAGGTAGCCTCCTCTAGTCCATCTCTCTGGCGTGCAGGCTGCAGTCTGTTTGCCAGCTCTGGCTGCTCCTGCTCCCGTGTGACACACTCTCATTTTTCAGCTGCCAGCACCCTTTAGGTGGTCTCCAAAATGTGTGCGTTTTGGGGGGTGGGGGCTTCCTCCCCCAGGGATATGTAAGCTTGGGTAGAAGAATATAATGTAACTTGTATTTATATTTATTGTTTTAACTGAAAACAAGAAAAAATTAAGCTTTTGTTAATATTTACTACTTGGATCGACACATATGTACATAACAAATGATTGAAGTTATGCCTTTATTTAAAAAAAAATAATGGAGTGCTTGGTCAAAATGTTTGGACACCCCTGTTCTAGGCAGTGTGCCCTCCTTTCTGCAACCTTCCTTTGCTTCACAGACAGCTGGACAAGAACCAGATCAGCTGCATCGAGGAAGGGGCCTTCCGGGCTCTGCGGGGGCTGGAGGTGCTGTAAGTACACGTGGGGAAGGAAGGGGTGTGTGTAGACCCCTCCTACTCTCCACGGAGCAGGGACCGGGTGCAGGGCCCAGGCAGCGGGAGCCGGGGAGCACAGGAGGCAGCAGACGTACTCTCCTAGAGTTGCCACCAGGTGGGGAGGACAGGAGCTCGGGGGTGATGCCTGCAGCAGTGCGCCCCAAGCTTAACCTGCTCGGGTGGAGCTCAGGGCGGGCAGCTGTGTCTTCTAGGGGTTTCTGACACCCGAGGCTGGAATGCTTTCTCCTTTCCCTCGGTCTGTCTGCATCCCAGCCTTTCTTCCAAGCTAGCCCGAACCTGGGACACATCCTCTCCTCTCCCTGCTCCACATCCCCCCACCCCTGTCCTGCCAGACTTGCAGTCTGTGTGCAGGGGTGCAGTCAGCTCGCAGTCACTGTTCCAGCTCAGGGCTTCCCCTAGGGTGGGTCCGTGTCTTGTGCCCTTCCATGTAGCTCACCCCCTCCGCGTGCCTCCTTCCAATCTAGCCCCGGGCTGGTCCACCTTGAGGTGTGAGAGCCTCCCCGGTTATTAGCAGAGGCCCTGTCCCAGGTAATCTCCTGCCCGGCAGATGCTAAAGGTCTCTGATTTCTCCCTTTTAGGACCCTGAACAACAACAACATCAGCACCATTCCCGTGTCCAGCTTCAACCACATGCCCAAGCTCCGGACCTTGTGAGTCAGCCAGGGCAGCTGGCAGCACAGCGGGAGGGGAAGAGGTGACGGCTCCTGCAGGCGGGGGCCAGCCAGGGTGGGGCCTCAGTGGAGTTAGAGGGGGAGGAGGTGATCTAAAATTGCAGGGCATGCAGTGTCATTGACATGTGATTTTTCCTTGGAAAACAAATGATTTGTTTTTGTGTTTGAAAATGAGTCCAGTGGTTTGGGGCAGTGAACCTGTGAGCTCATGAGAGCCACTGATGTTTGCTGGGCACATGCTAGCCACAGGAGTGGGGGCGGGGGGCGCTGCCAGGGTCGCCACTGTGCTGTGGGTCTTCCCAGGCTGGAGCTGAGCCGCCGCATTCTGAGCGTACATTGTGTTTGGGCTGAACGCCGCACTGGGGGTGCCTCCTGCCGGTGTGGGGCGTTTCCTGCTGTCTGGCTGGGGCCCGGGGCAAGGGCCAGCGAGGTTGACAGCCACCCTGTCCTCCTGCAGCCGCTTGCACTCCAACCACCTGTTCTGTGACTGCCACCTGGCCTGGCTCTCGCAGTGGCTGAGGCAGCGGCCAACCATCGGGCTCTTCACCCAGTGCTCGGGCCCCGCCAGCCTGCGTGGCCTTAATGTGGCTGAGGTCCAGAAGAGCGAGTTCAGCTGCTCAGGTGGGTGCAGGCCCCTGCCCAGCTTTCAACTGCTCAGTGTCACCTGCCTCACCCATTTCTTCCTCCTGTCCCTACCTCTTTATTCCCTCCCATAGCCACCTGTAACCACATTAACCTCCTGTCCCCGCCCACCACCTCCGAACCCCGCCCATCACCTCCTGTCTCCACCCATCACTTCTGGACCGCCCCCCCCATAACCTGGCCCCGCCCATCATCTCCTGTCCCGGCCTTTTCTCTACCTATCATTTCTTAACTCCTGTCCTTTCCCCCTCTTCCCTCCACTGTCTCCTCCACTCACAGTCCCCTTCTGTCCCACCCTCTACTCTTTCTGTATCTGTCCAGTGCTTCCTCCCATTTCTTCATGGCCTCTCACCCACTCCTTGCCCCTGCTATGTCCACGTCTCCCCTTCTCCCATGGCCTCACCTCTGTGACCTTGACAAATCACTGAACTGTCCCTCTAACCTTGGTTCCTGGTGAACCCCAGAGCCCCTGTCCCTTCGCCTTCCACCTGGGGTCCCGTGAGAGCCTCCTCACTGGTCACCCACTTCCTTCCTGGCTGTGAGAATTTCTACACATTAATTAATAGTGAAGACTCTGTTTTCTCACCTGTGTAATGGCAACAGAATGTTCCTCGTAGGGTTTAAATGTGGTCCTTATCACAGAGTAAGCGCTTAGTAAACGCAGTCATTGTTACCCTCATGTGACGGGTGAGGGGACTCAGGCTCACAAGTGTCAAGTGACTTGGACTAGAAACCAAACCCTCGGAATTCTAGGCCAGGATTTCCTAGCGTGTGACTCACACTGTGGTGCACTTCAGTTCAGATTCAAGTTCAGCGAACAGCTGCCAAGTACCTGCTGCTGAGTGCCAAGCACCCACAGAGTTACATCGAAGTCCAGAATCTCGTATTTCTTTGGTGACCTCCTCTGGTTCACCCTCATCCAGAGAAACTGCCACCGTGAACCCTGTCCCCACCCATCAGTCTGTGTCTGGGGAGGGAGGTGCCGATGCAGGACACCCTGAGGCCACATCCCCTGTTTCTGCAGGCCAGGGGGAGGCAGGGCGCGTGCCCACCTGCACCCTCTCCTCTGGCTCCTGCCCGGCCATGTGCACCTGCAGCAACGGCATCGTGGACTGTCGCGGCAAAGGCCTCACTGCCATCCCCGCCAACCTGCCCGAGACCATGACGGAGATGTGAGTACAGGGCAGCGCAGGGCGTGCCCCGGAACACTGGCCCCGCCGGCTGGGCTGGGCTCTGGTGGTTTGTGCAGAGCTGGCTCCAGGCCCCTCGGTGACAAATGGAGGGGACACAGTTTGTCTGTCTAGGCTGACCTCTGTGAAGGGCTGGGGATGGGGAGTCCCTCTGTGGTCCATCTGTCCAGCTCAGCTGAGTGAGTCCACTAGATTCAGTTTCTCAGCATCATTTGTGGGCCCCTTCCAGCCACGGAAGTCTGGGGCAAGGGAGCTCCCGTGACAGCGTTCTCTGCCTGTGCCAGCCCACCTGCCCCACACTTCAGCTTCTAGAAGGGGGAAGGGAGCAGAGGCAGGAGAAGCCAAGGGTGTGTTTGGGGTGGGTGAGCCCACCAGACAATGCCCAGCGCTGGGGTGACCTGGGCCCTTGTGCGTCCCCTCTGTTCTCCCCTGCAGCCGCCTGGAGCTCAATGGCATCAAGTCCATCCCCCCAGGAGCCTTCTCTCCCTACCGGAAGCTGCGCAGGATGTGAGTGCCTCTCGCTACTTCCTGGGGAGTCGCGCAGGGCAGGAGGAAGAGCCTAGACCAGGCGTCCCACAGCCCCGGGCAGGGTCCAGACTTGGCCTCTTGCAGCTGAGTGGCCCTGGGCCAGCCACCCTCGGGCTGCTTGTCTGTGACGAGGGGGCCTCCTCCCAGGGTTGCCGTGAGGCCTGATGGAGCGTTGAGCTGAGTCTGGCATGTGACCAGAGCTGCTTGTCGTCTATTTCGGCCTGGGCACCAAGAGGAGCAATTCAGGACAGGAGGTGGCTGTAGGGGATGGCCAGGATATGTGGGGAAGCCTCGGCCCTAATGTCCCAAGCTGGAGCGCCCCCACCTGCACAGCCCTCAGAGTGCACAGGGAAATAGTGGCCTATGGGTTTTTCAGATGGATGGGAGAACTGGCCCCTCAGTCTTCTAATTTCAAAAAAATCCCTGCTTCCCTCCCCCCGTGGTGTGTAGCCGGTACAGGGGACTGGGGTGGCCGCTGAAGGATTCAGATGTCCCCTCCCCTTCTCACCTTGCAGAGACCTAAGCAACAACCAGATCGCGGAGATCGCACCCGACGCCTTCCAGGGCCTGCGCTCCCTGAACTCGCTGTGAGTAGCGCGGCCAGGGCTCCCTCGGTGGTGCAGGGAGTCCATTGAGGAGGGACCGTCTGGAGGAGCAGCAGGGCCGCACCCCTCCACACAGCACCCCCTCCCATCGCCCTGCCCGGGCCCCCCATAGCTGGGGAGGGAGGCAGGACTCCAGGGCTGAGAACATGGAAAGATCCCAATTGAGATGCTGTCCCCGCCAGGGTGGGGATATTCCCAGCATTCCCTGCAGCAGCCATCTTGGCCCCCGCCTCCCCACAGCGCGTGCCCCCCAAACCCCTCCCCGGGTCACCCATGGGGCCATTGGCCCTGGCTCGAACTGTGACGTCTGCCACACCTTGATCAATCCCAGGATGTGGTGGGGGATGTGAGGACAGTGTTTTCCTTCCCTCAGGGTCTACTGCGGGGGCGGGGCAGGTCAGTGGAACACAGGGTAGGTGGTGAGTATGGACTTTCCCCAGGAACCCTTCTTGCAGCCCAGGTTCACCAAGCCCCTCACTCTCTGAGGTCCCACAGCGCTTTGTCTATTCAGAGGGTGCACTCAGGGTGCTGTGTAGTGGCGCGAGCTCCCTGCAGTGGGGCCGTCTGTTACTCTTAGGAATGCGTGTCTTCACCTACTCCCTGGCAGCACTGGGCACATGCCTGGCATAGATTAGAGGCCTGGCAAGTGGAGCAGAATGGAACTCCCCGTTGGGAGTGCAGGAGGCTGCCAGCTCAGTGCCTTCTGTGAGTGCCCCCTTCGCTTGAAGTAGAATCCAAGGTCGTGGGGGGGAACAGTTGTGAAAGATACCCCTGAAGTTGTGCAGTGTGCAACCTACACAGCTGTACATGAAAGCTGGTGATGGGTCATTGTCATTGGCTGAGGAGATCAGATCCTTGGAGGTGGCCTGCCAAAATGCAGGGCTCTTCCTCTGAGAAGTGAGTAACACTCTCCTAAGTTGGAACATGGTAATTTGAAGGGGCGAAAGGTGAAATAACCCATCTAAGTGGGTTTCTGAACCTGGTCACAGCCCCCTCCCCACCAGGAGCTTGCATGCTGAGATCATGCCACCAAACCCCATCGGATTGTCCGCCTGGGCCAGCCTGGACCTTGCCTCCCTGCTTCGATTCCTGCCCCCTCCACTCCATTCTCCACACAGCAGGTGGAGAGGCTGAAACAGAATCTGATCGTGTCTCAGTGGCTTCCTGGTGCCAGCTGGGTAAAGGCCAAGCTACTGTCCCATTCGTTCCCTCCACTCAGGCCACACTGGCCTGTCGGTTCTCCACGCAGCCCACCCAGATCGCACTGCGGGCCTTTCCTCCTGTGCCCTCCTCTGGGAGCCGCCTCAAAGCCACGTTTGAAGAGGCAGCTCGCAGGGTTTCCACTCAGCTCGAATTTCACAAGGCTAGCGAGTGGGGGTCTGATTGTGACACTGGGAATAGAATCCAGCCCCTCCCCAAGCTCCTGGGCTTTTGCTGTCTTCCTGCACCCATTCCTGCCTTGTGGGTTTTGAACTTCTGCTTTTTTTTTTTTTTTTCTGATTATATGTGGAATTCATGCTCAATGCAGAAAACCTTGAAAATAATAAAGCATTAAAAAAAACAACAACACTGGAAGTCTCACCACCCAGATCTCATACTGCATGTGCTGCCTGGCATTCTGGTTTTTTCCCTGTGACTTTGTGAGCATACAGGAATTACTCCTGCCCATGGAGTTCACTCTTCTTTCAACAGTCTCCTTTTGGGTTTTGGACCAGGTTAATTTCCCATGAGGTTCCGAGCAAGGGCTGCTTTGCAGGCTTCCATGGGGTCCGCCTCTGTGAGGGCAGGGGAGTGGGGGCTGCTCCCGCAGGGTGAGGACCAGGGCTGCCTCCAGCCCACAGGGTATCTCTGTGCAAAGTAGCAACAGGTGACCCTTTCTCAAGATGCTTTACCGCCATCTGTGGGCAGGTTGCTATAACAAACATGCGTTAAGGTTTGGGAAACGTGAATGGCTTAGAGGTGGTGCCATTGGGGAGGGCCACCTGCAGGGCGGTGCCACGGCTCTGGGGGGCTGTCCTCTAACCCCTCCCTCTCTGCTGCCTCTTCTCCAGCGTGCTGTATGGGAACAAGATCACAGACCTCCCCCGAGGTGTGTTTGGAGGCCTGTACACCCTACAGCTCCTGTAAGGACCAATCCTGGGGTATCTTTGGGTGGGACCCGGGGGGCCGGCATCCCTCTGGCCAGCCAGACTGTGCCTTTCAGCCTCTTTGGGGTATGGGACTCACTTGAGACAAGGGGCTGGGAAAACAGGCAGAGCTAGGAAGGCTGAAAGAGGCTCCAGGGCTCTGCAGAGGCGAAAGAGGGAGGTAGAGGCTGGTGCAGAGTTGCTCGTGGGATGCCAGAGCAGAGGGGCTGCTGGGACTTGGCCTGTACTGCAGAGGAGCTCAGTGTGGCTGGGGACAGAGCTGTTTTCTGCAGCGGGGCACCCAGGCCGGTTCAGCTTCCTTGAACCATGAGCTTTCAGGCAAGGCTTTTCTCGCAGGACCTAGGAAGCACTGAACACAAACACTCCATCTCAGCTGCCTGGGGAACCCAACAGAAATCTGGGAAGGAGGAGAAGCCCCCAAAATGCCTTTCAGAGGTGGCTCTCTGCTTTCCCAGAATCCCACAGGGCATCTCTCACAGTTCCTTGAAAGAGAAGCGTGGGCAGGCTGAGATGCCCCTGTCCACGGAGAAGGCAGTTGGCGTTCCCAGCTCCTTTGCATGGATTGGACACTCAGAGGGTCAGATTCCCGGGCTGCTCCTCCCTGCAATAACGCATGCCCGAGGCCAGGCAGGTGCATGTGATGAGTCCAATCGCACACCTGTCCCTCACCCCTGGCCCTGGCTCTGCCCGCAGCCTCCTGAATGCCAACAAGATCAACTGCATCCGGCCTGATGCCTTCCAGGACCTGCAGAACCTCTCGCTGCTCTCCCTGTACGACAACAAGATCCAGAGTCTCGCCAAGGGCACCTTCACCTCCCTGCGGGCCATCCAGACACTGTGAGTGCCTTCCTGCCCTGCTCCTTGCCCCTCCCTGTAGGCCCCACAGCAGGAAAGGCCCCGGCAAGTGGGCCTAGGGGAGATTATACCCTCCGGGTGCAGGCAGCTGAACTGCCCTGGGCTGCCGTGCCCACTGGGAGTGGTCTCTTACAGAGGAAGGACACGGACTCTGGGTTAAAACCCCAACTGTGCTGTGTGACCCTAGGCAAATTAATTGGCTTCTCTGGGCTTCATTTTATTTATCTACAAAACAGGGACACTTTCCTCACAGAGTTATTATGAAATTAATGGAGACGCTTGTACAAAGTTTAGCTCATTGTAAATGACTGCAGTTAATAGCAGTAATAATAATAATGACAATAATTATAATAAGCCCATTGAGTCTCAGACAGATTTCCACACTGACAGCTCTAAAATTGGGATACACATTATAATCAGTAGCATATCATTTAATTGGCAGCATTTTGTTCTTTACAGAACAAAGAACATAAAATATAGTGCATCTTGCAATTCATAATGTCAAATCAGATGAAATACAGTTAACAACGATGACTATAAATTAAAAATTAGAGAGCAACAAATTTAACAATTTGTTACCATCTTTTATTGTGGAAAATGACAAGCATATTACAAGTAGCTTAGTGAACATCCCAGTGTTCATACCCCAACTCCATCCAATCCTGTTTCCCTGCACCTCCCCCGTCCATGCCACCAAAACTATTTGGGAGCAAATCCTAAGGCATCATATGTCATCTATATAGACTTTATAGATACCTCTAAAAGATAAGAATTCTTTAAAAACACATTCACAACACTATTATTATATCTAAACTTTAACAACTCCTTAAAATCATCAAATAATTAAATGGTGTTCAAATTTCCAAGTGTCTCACACATGTGATACAATTTGTTATAGTTTGTTTGAATTGGGATTTAAATAAATCCTATACAACACAATTGGCTGATGTTGGGTGATGCATCCCATAAGTTGTTTCTAATCTATAGGTCTCCTCTCTGTCACCTTTTTCCTTTGTAACGTACTTGTCGAAACACTGCATCACTGGTTCTATAGGATCTGGATTTTGCTGATTGCATCCCCGTGGTGTAGTTTCGCACGTTCCTCTGTCCTCTATGTGTCCTGCAGATTGAAAATTGGATCTAGGAACTTGGTCGGGTTCAGGTTCAATTTATTTACTTATTGGCAAGATGACTTCACGGGCAGGATTGTGTACTTCCCATCAGGAAGTGCAGGCTGACTGGTAGCCTCTCTTTTTGTAATAAAAACAGTAATTGATCTCAATTTCTGGACCCATTAATTTATTAGAGATCCTGAAATGGTGATCTTTGAATTCTAACATTCCTTCTTCATTGGATAATGCTGTTGTGGTTATGCTTTAAAAAAGGAGTTCTTATCTTTTAGCCGGAATGTTTCCATTTAGGGAAACTTCTCATCTGCTGGCTGGGTGGTTAAACGTAGGCATGTAAGTGGTCTCCTTCATTCTACAGCTTTAATTCCGAGCCTGCAGTTTGCCTGGATGTGCTGACCTGTGGGTCCCATGGTGAGCATTGAACAGGCATTGATGACTAATATTGTTGTGGCCATTGTCATTGTCATTGCTGCCACTGTGTATGCCGGGCAGTGTTCTCCCAGAAAACATCTGCATGGGGTGCCGGGATAGGTTCGAAGCAGGTTGGGTAAAAGGTACAGCAGCTCCAGCTCCCTGGGGACGCTGTGTGTCAACAGAGATGTCAGCCACAAAGACAAACTCATTAAAGCCCAGGAATCTGCCTGCAGCCCAACTCCTGCTAATTAATTTACTTATAGCCACAGAGAGGAAGATGGAGCCCCGTGGGGAAACCTTGCCAAGTATGTGAAATTAGAGGTTACAGGAGATGTTGGCAAGGTGGAGTATTTTAAGCATCTGGCAGAAAGGCTGAGAGAAATGTGCTAAGGAGATTTAATGGGATGGCGAGACTCACGTGAGCCACTGTTCTTGCCTGTATTATCTTTCTCAATAATGCCATGACCCTTTGGAGGTAGGTGCTATCATCCCTGATTTAACTTTTAAGGCAGCCAAGGCAGAGAGAGGTTTCACGACTCACTGAGATTGCAGAACATCTGATAGAGCAGGGATTTCATCTCGGGTATCACTGAGAAACTGATTAGCTTCCCCCTCAACTGTGCTTTTTCTGTAATCATAGACCTCATTATCTAAGGCTGTAAAGCAAAATTGAACTTTCATGAGCACCTATTATATGTTAACAACTGAGTTACAATTTGGAACAAGAATAAAAGAAATACAAGTCCAAGGTACAATAAGATATTCTTATTACAACCTCAAGTGGCTAAACTCCTACACTGAGTCTTGTTTTGTCAAACCTGAGCAGATTTAAATTCACTGAATCTTGCTTGATTTGTCCTTAGCTCCAAGATCTGTGGCCAAGTGTCTTGTGTCATCGTACTGATTTTGCTGCAGTTTTACTTGCCTCCGGAGATTTAACATTTTTTTTAAATAACAACTTTATTGAGGTATAATTTACATACCATAAAGTTCACCTGTTCTAAGAGTACAGTTCAATGATTTTTAGTAAATTGACAGAGTTGTTCAACTATTGCAATTCAATTTTAGAACATTTCTATCACACCCCCACCCCAAATCCCTTGTGCCCATTTGTAATTAATCCCATTTCCAGCCTCAGCCGCTGGCAGTCACTAATCTATTTTCTGTCTCTGTAGACTGCCTTCTCTGGACATTTCACAAAAATAGAGTCATATAATATGCCATCTTCTGTGACTGGCTTCTTTCACTCAGCGTAACATTTTTGAGGTTCATCCTTATTGTAGCTGCATCAGGACTTTGTTTCTTTTTATTGCCAAATAATTTTCCATTGTATAAATAGGCCTCATTTGTTTACCCATTCTAAATGATGGACATTTGGAGCACTTCCACTTTGTGGCCATTCTAAATAATGCTGCTATGAGTATTCACTTACAAATCTTTGTGCAGAGAAACATTTTCATTTCTTTTGGAATTTCTGGGTCATATGATAAATTTATGTTTAACTTTTAAAGAAACTGCCAGTGTTTTCTAAAGTAGCTGTACCATTTTGTGTTCCCACCAGCAGTGTATTGTAAGGGCTTTGGTTTCTGTACATCATCATCGGCAATTAGTATTGTCGTTTTTGGGTTTTTTTTTTTTTTTTTTTTTTGGTCTTTTTGGTTATAGCCATCCTAGTGAGAATGAAGTGATAGCTCAATGTGGTTTTTTTTTTTTTGTTTTTTTGAGACAGAGTCTCACTCTGTTGCCCAGGCTAGAGTGAGTGCCATGCCGTCAGCCTAGCTCACAGCAACCTCAAACTCTTGGGTTCAAGCAATCCTCCTGCCTCAGCCTCCCGAGTAGCTGGGACTACAGGCATGCGCCACCATGCCCGACTAATTTTTTCTATATGTATTAGTTGGCCAATTAATTTCTTTCAATTTTTAGTAGAGACGGGGTCTCGCTCTTACTCAGGCTGGTTTTGAACTCCTGACCTTGAGCAATCCTCCCGCCTCAGACTCCCAGAGAACTAGGATTACAGGCGTGAGCCACCTCGCCTGGCCTCAATGTGGTTTTAATTTGTATTTCCCTAATACTATGATGCTGAGCATCTGCCATAAAAGAGTTTAAGCTGTGACTCCTTAATGCATATTAGGAGAAAAACACTGTGACTCAGTCCTCTCTCCCTTTCCTTCCACCATCAAAAACGTTCATAGACTGTGCAGACACATATGCAGTGCATTTCTGGATGTGCCTTTAACATGATTATCTTTCACCAGATAGATTTTTTCCCTTCCTCCTGTGCATTGTCCCTCCCTAGCTCCCTGCCCTTTGAAACTGTTACAAATTCTAATTTGTGTAAAATATTAAAGTTTATACCGAAGCCACTTGTCTTTCTAGGTGGTTCGAGTTTTATAGGTTGTTTTTGACACAAATATCCTGTTCTTAAAAAGGATGTATTCTACACTATGCCCCTTAAACATTTTAATACATGCCTAAACAACATGACTGGACTGATTTGAAACAGAGTTTCTACCAAGACTGTGATAAAGAGAAGCAATTCGTCCAGGCAATTGTTTGGGGCACTGAGGCACAAACAGGTGAGGGTGAGGCAGCTGGTGGGGGGTTCCTAAGTGGACCCTGAATCCTGGTATATTTCAGATGAGCTGCAGACTCTGCCCTGGGAGTCGGCAAACACATCTTCTCTGTGCAAGCTGACAGTTTAAAAGGGGAAATAAATGTTCAGCTGGATGCAGAAAGGGCGAGAGGGGCCGGGTCCACCTGGTGGGGCTGAGAGGATCCGGGACTCAGGCTGGAAATGGGGACGGACACTGCAGAGGAGAGTGGCAGGAACAGTGGGACCAGCGAAGGCTCCCACTGGCACCCCAGCCAGAGGGCAGAGCCCAGGAGGTGACTGACGGGACAGAGAGCAGCTAAGGTCTGCGCTGAGCTGGGCGTAACCCTGGGCGAGGCCTCACCCCTCTGTTTCGGGAGGTCTGCAGCCCCTAGCAGGGCTCTGGGCTGAGACCAACAGGTCAGGTGGTCTGAACTGATGGCACGTATGGAGGAAAAGTGGCTATGCCACGGCAAGTCCCTCAGAGCTGGCCACCTCAGTGTCCCTCGCTGCTGTGTAGGGACACTGGCTCTCAGGAACTGGAGCCAGCACAGGGACAGGAATGCGCTTCCCTGGCTGTCTCGGTTTGGACAGCCACGAGCAGGGTACGCCCAGCGCTGGGGTGGCCCAGACACACGTGGGCAGGGCTGCTGCTGGGGTGGCTCAGATGGGGCTAGTCAGAACCTGCTGGGGTGGTCAGAGCCCACACGGGGGCAAGAAACCACGTGGTCACGTACAGCAACCATGGCCACCGTCACCACGTTCATGTGTTGGCAACACAGGCAGCCCCGCATGTTGAGCGATTCCCCAGCAGGGAGCTACTCAGTAATGTTTTCTGAGTTTTCCTTGTGTGAAGGGTCGGTTTGTAAAAAGGACAAGGAGAGGCAGCTGCTGTGACCTGGGTGGGGATGGGGACCCCCGTGAAGCCTGGGTACTCCAGCGGGCTCGGCCTTGCCGCCCCGGCCCATTCCCTTCCTGGAGAATGGCTGTAGGACACAGGCTGCTGCTGCCTGGGTCAGCAGGAAAGGGGCTGAACCGGAGCCCTGGCTGCTGGCGAGGTCACAGGCCACGGCCTGGGCACCCGTGGTCCTGTGTCCTGTCCCCCTCTCTGGGCCTTGTCTTCCTCACCTGTGCAAGGCCGGGGTGCTCTGGCCAGTCTCTAGGCCCTCCTCCCTCCACTCGTGCTTGTCCCAGGGCAGGGGAGGGAAGGGTGGGTTGAAAGGGAGGGGACAGAATGAGGCTTGGCAGAGTGTGGCAGGGACAGCAGGAGGCTCGGGGCTGGCGATCTCACCCCCTGTGGTGTGCAGGCGGCGTCTCCGTACGCGGCAGGGGCACCCTGGCAGGACACACCCCTGTTTCTCCCATGGCCAGCCCCGGGCTCCCGGCAAGCAGCAAGGCCCCACCCAGGTGGGGTCAGTGCAGGTTTGCGGCCCTCGTCTCTGACGGCTCACCTGCCCCTTTGGACAGGCACCTGGCCCAGAACCCATTCATCTGCGACTGTAACCTCAAGTGGCTGGCCGACTTCCTGCGTACCAACCCCATCGAGACGAGCGGCGCCCGCTGCGCCAGCCCCCGGCGCCTCGCCAACAAGCGCATCGGGCAGATCAAGAGCAAGAAGTTCCGGTGCTCAGGTAGCTGCCCTTGCCCACCTGTCTGTCTGCCTGCAGTCTGCTCAGGGACCTGGGGCCTTTCCTGGACGTCCGCAGTTACTCTAGACCACGCTGGAGGGTGCAGCCCCCAAACGCTAGACTCGGATCCGAATGGTTGTTCAGTAGCAGCTCATTTTACTGAGGCTAGGGCAGAGGCAGGGATTGCTGAAGGTCCCAGAGGGAGGACCCAGGTGAGTTCCTTTTTATGCCCTGCTCTCAAGCCTTCTAAGACACTTGGGAGGCCCAGGGACAGTCCCTAGTGAGATTGGAGCCTCCTCCAGGCTTTGGGACAACAGAAATGGCCTCACCACGGCAGTCCCCATGGCTCGGGACAGTGTAGGCCAGCTTCTGAGCCTGGATCCTGGCCAGGGCTAATGCCCCTGCCCTTCTGCAGTCAGGACAGTCCCAGCCTCGACCCACTGCAAATGAGAGTTGGACGGGCTGGGCGCTGCTGTGACAGCTTTATCTGGAGGCACTGCTGCCCCAGCGTTGGCCGGGGCAAGGGACACGAGCGCTCTGCAGCAGGCCTTCCACACACAGGGCTGGGCACATGGGCTTTGTGGCCCTGATGAAGCGCAGTCGCATTCCTGGGGTGCCCTCAGCTGGGCAGGGGGGCTGGGCCTGGGCTGCTCCTGCATCATGGTGTTTCTGCTTCTCTCCCCAGCCAAGGAGCAGTACTTCATTCCAGGTAGGAGAGGGGAACGCGGGCCAGCCTGGGGGCACAGTGGCGGTGGGTGGGCAGGCTGGGGGCCTGGGAGAGCCTGGGTTGGCCAAGGCTGCTTGGAGCCTCCCCGGGCTGTCAGCCCCACCTGCCCTGTCGCCACAGGCACGGAGGATTACCAGCTGAACAGCGAGTGCAACAGCGATGTCGTCTGTCCCCACAAGTGCCGCTGCGAGGCCAGCGTGGTGGAGTGCTCCAGCCTGAAGCTCACCAAGATCCCTGAGCGCATCCCCCAGTCCACGGCCGAGCTGTGAGCGTCCCTGCCCCTCCACGCCCACGCCTGCCCCCAGCTCCCCCTAACCCTCCTGGGCCCACTCCGAGCTCTCCTCTGCCCCAGTCCTGTGTCGGGGACCACCAGAGACACCAGCCCGGGAATGCCAGCTGTCCCTCGAAGCAGTCTCTGGCACCCAGGGCAGGTCTCCAGCCTGAACTGGGGGTGGCTTTTCTCAATGATGCTTTTGTCTTCTTTTGGGGGAACATGATTCTAAAATCACGTTTATTATTTTTATTTCTCTATCTAAATGTATGCATTTGTGCACATATATATGCATGTGCACGGATACCTGAAAACACCTGTCATTTATGCATGCAGATTTTCATGTCATTTTTAATGTTAAAAACATCCCCATTCACCTCCTCCCCCAGTGCTAGGCCCAGCCTTCCTTTGAAATTGGAGCAACCTGCCTGGCTGGATAAATTCTTCTGGGAGTCCCCTCTGGGTCCCAGATATTTTCAGTTGGGAAGGTAGTTTAATGTTGTCATTTGTGCATGTGCAAGCTGATTCATTTCCTCTTCCAGACGATTGAACAACAATGAGATTTCCATCCTAGAGGCCACGGGCATGTTTAAAAAACTTACACACCTGAAGAAAATGTGAGTTACCCAGGGCCGGAAGGGGCCTGTCGGGATGTGGCCGGGCTGGAGAAGGAAAATACTGGGGTTGGGGTGGGGCCGTGTGCTTGGGGGTGTTGGGTGCCGGAAGGGAGGGGTCTGAGCCCCTGGGATCGGGCCATGTGTAACCCGCCTCCCCACCCCCGCCGACGCCTCTCCCAGCAACCTGAGCAACAACAAGGTGTCGGAAATTGAAGACGGGGCCTTCGAGGGTGCGGCATCTGTGAGCGAGCTGCACCTCACGGCGAACCAGCTGGAGTCCATCCGCAGCGGCATGTTCCGGGGGCTGGACGGCTTGAGGACCCTGTGAGTGTGCGGGGCTGGGGAGCGGTGCAGGGCCGGCTGGGCGAGGCAGGCAAAGCCAAGGGAAGGGGAGAGAGAGGGGGGAGAGGCCCTCCCCTGGCCCCAGTTTGCAGGAGGCTGGGGACAGCTGAGTATCCCGACCACAGTGGGACACATGATCAAATGTTGGGGACCCTGTGGTGAGGTCCCTTCTTTTGTTCCATGGGGCTTAGGGCTGATGCCTGGTGAAAGGATGGAGGGATGCAGGTTCTCCCAAGGGTCCCTTCCCATTGCCCTGCGGTCAGGCTGCAAAAGCGTTTGCTAAGGAGCGGCCAGCCCTACCGCAGGCAGGAGGGGCCGGGTGACCTTGCCGAGCTGACTCAGTGGGCGTAGATGGGGGAGCCAAGGGTGTTGCACCATCCCAGGAGCTCAGTGGGATCCTGGGTCACCCACCCCTCTCTGAGCACTGCAGGGACCCCTCCCTCTGCCCAGGCAGTGCTGGCTCTTCAGATGATCTGTGGTTGTAGATAGTGCTGTCCAGTCGGACCTCCTACAGAGATGGAAATGTTCCATGTCTACGCTGTCCAATCCGGTTACCACGTGTGGCTGTGGAGCACTTGAAATGTGGCTAATGCTACTGAGAATTTCGAATTTCATTTCATTTTAATAAATTTAATCTAAATAGCTACATATGGCTAGTGGCTACTATGCTGGACGACATGGCTCTAGAAGCCGCCTGCTCGGGTTTAAGTCCCAGCTCTGCAGCGGGCTACACGTTTGGCTCCCGAGCATGCGTCATTGAATTTGTGGAAGGTAAATGAGTACATGATGTGACAGGACTCCCTGTGGACTTTTGTTTGTTTTACAAAAAGGGGATTTTATTATGCGCTGTGTTTTGCAGCTTGCTTTTTTCACTTATGAATATATATATATTTATTTATTTTATTTTATTATTTTTGGAGACAGAGTCTCGCTTTGTTGCCCAGGCTAGAGTGAGTGCTGTGGTGTCAGCCTAGCTCACAGCAACCTCAAACTCCTGGGCTCAAGCAATCCTACTGCCTCAGACTCCCGAGTAGCTGGGACTACAGGCATGCGCCACCATGCCCGGCTAATTTTTTCTGTATATATATTAGTTGGCCAATTAATTTCTTTCTACTTATAGTAGAGACGGGGTCTCGCTCTTGCTCAGGCTGGTTTTGAACTCCTGACCTTGGGCAATCCACCCGCCTTGGCCTCACAGAGTAGTAGGATTACAGGCGTGAGCCACCGCGCCCGGCCTTACTTACGAATATAGCATGGCGATCTTGCCAGGCTGTTCCTGCTCTACTTGCCTAGCACTCCTGGAATGAGGGTGCTGTGGGCTATCTGATCAGTCAGTGTGTCTTTCCAGGGAAGAAGTGGCTGGGGACAGAGGGAAGGGGAAGGGCCCATGTCTCACACCCATCTGGAAGGCACCACTGTTGATTGTGATGTAAACAACTATCTTTCCAGTCTTTTACACATCTGTACACACATACACACAGGCATACATATAGATATTTAATGTATTTTAATGGAATCCTATCATATATTTTATTTAGTAACCTGCTTTTGCCTTAAACTTAGTGTGAGTACCTTTACATATCCTTACATTTTTTTACAACATAATTTGGAATGACTATATATTATATAGTTATTGGCAATTTAGGCTGTTTCTAATTTTTTATTATAAGCAATGTTGTACAATTAATATCTGCCTTAGTCAGTTCAGGCTGCTGTAACAAACTACCATAGTCTGGGGGCCTATCAACAGAATGCATTTCTCACAGTTCTGGAGAGACCAGGGTGCCAGCGTGGTCGGGTTTGGTGAGGGTCCCCTTCTGGGCCGCAGACTTCTGACTTCTCATTGTGTCCTCACATGGTAGAAAGAGGGTGAGAGAGCTCTCTGGGGTCTCTTGTATAAGGGCACTAATCCCATTTGTGAGTGGTCCACCCTTCTTATCTAGTCACCTCCCAGAGAACCCGCCTCCCAACACCATCACACTGGGGATCAGCGGTTCAGCGTGTAAGTTTGAGGGGCACAAACTTCCAGGCCAGAGCAATTTCTTTATCATGAAGTTCTGTGCCCATCCACGATGAGTCCCTCATGATGAATTCCTAAGAACGACTGGCCAGGGAACGCACACAGTGCCTTTTGGGGATTTTGAATCTCACCACACACACTTCCAGGGAGGTACCCAGTCACTCTCCCACCAGCAGGGTGTGGAAGTGTGCAGGCCCGCACTCTTACAGGTACTGGGCATTATTATTATTATACTTTCCATTCTTTTTCAATTTGGCATGCAAAAGTCCAATATTGCTTATATGTCTTTGATTACTAGTTTGTATACCTTTTATGAATGTTCATAAACCATTTGAATTTCTGTTGTGAATTGGCTATTATGCTTTTAGCTTGGTTTTTGTTTTTGTTTTTGGTTGGGGCAGGAAATTGAGCTGGGCTTTTGAGGATGAACAGAGGTTTTCCAGATGTTGATGAGGGAGAAGGGCTTTCTAGAGAGACACCACAGGCAGGAAGGGCCTGGCCATGGGGCTGGTGCTGGCGGCCTGGGGCAGTCAATGGCTGGCAGGTGGCAGGTGCCGGGCTGAGGAGATGGGCTGGGGCTGGGTGGACGTGGTCTTGCAGGTCACAGTAGAGAGATCAATGACTCTGTGGGCAATTTGGAGGCCATTGGAGAGTGACAGGACCTGATCTAGGTTTTAGGAAAGCCTCCTGGGCCAGAGGTGGGGAGGAGCACCGGCGCCAGGGGGTGGAGGAGAGGCCGGCAGTGAGCAGTGGGTGGAGAGGAGGGGACAGAGCTGTGAGGCGCCGCAGAGGCAGGGACACCTGGATGTGAGCACAGGCGTGTAGGGCTCTCCCACATCTGGCCGTGGTCTGGCTGGTGCGTGTCTCGCCGCTCAGCGCCTCTGCAGGGGAACTGTGACCCCGCCACGGTGCCCACAGCCGGCCGGGCACAGCGAGGGGCTCCCCCTTCCTCCCTCACCGCCCGCTCCCCCCAGGATGCTGCGGAACAACCGCATCAGCTGTGTCCACAACGACAGCTTCACGGGCCTGCGCCACGTCCGGCTGCTCTCGCTCTACGACAACCAGATCACCACGGTCTCCCCGGGGGCCTTCGACACCCTGCAGTCCCTCTCCACGCTGTGAGTCCGGCCTTGGAGGGCAGGCGGGTGGCGGCCCAGGGAGCAGTCCTCTGGGCCCCGGGAACCCCACTCCCGCCATCCCGAGGGGCCAGTCCCCCCGGCGGCCACTTTAGGAGAGCTCACTGGGGACGTGGGGCCGTCACGGTTTCTGGGAACATGAGTCCCACCACTTTGGAGCTCCGCCGCTGGTCCCGAAAGCCCCTCCTCTGGGTGATCGTTGGTTGCCGGGGGAGCGTGTCGGTGGCCAGTGTGTGGCAGAGCCCGCCGCGGTGGACAGGAGGTCTTGCCGGGACAACTGAGACGCGCAGGGTCTTCATGGCGCCGCCCGGCCCCTTCCAGGAACCTCCTGGCCAACCCTTTCAACTGCGACTGCCGGCTGGCCTGGCTGGGTGACTGGCTGCGGAGGCGCAAGGTCGTGACCGGGAACCCGCGCTGCCAGAGCCCCGACTTCCTGCGGCAGATCCCCCTGCAGGACGTGGCCTTCCCTGACTTCAGGTGTGAGGAAGGTAACTCGGCCGGCGGCAGGGGTGAGGGTGAGCTGGGCGGTCACTGGGCTGGGGAGGACGGGTGGGCGGAGAGGGAGGCCCTGCCTGCTGTTGTCTTTGCGTGGTTATAAGAGCGATGATGTGCTAGTCACTTAAAAAATGGGGAAATATGGAGAAAAGAAGGAAATAAACACGACCTATTATCCCATCACTCAGAGAAAATCACGGCTAACATTTTAGTGGGTTTCTTTATGAAGTCTGCTTAACCCAGAGACCTGCCTCCTGGCTGTTCCTAAGTGTTCCACTTACAGGGTCACCCTGTCCTGATATGCCAGGGCTCCCTCCTGAGTCCCATCCCCCACCTGTGGGAAGCCCTGGCCACCTTTTGCTCCAATGCCTGTTTCCTCTGAATTCTCAGTCCCTCCCCTGTGGCCACTCCCTTTTGTGCTTCCTGGAACCAGATGTAGCCCCATCCCTGGGTTTTCCCCAGAGCATCACACACAAAGGTGGCCATTGGAAGCAGAATTCTTCCCAACAGTGACAGAGCCAGGTTGCCGTCCCTGTCCTCAGAGTCTCTCGGCACCTAGCTCTGCTCACGGGTGCCCGTCCAGGCCACCTGGACATGGTGGTGATTCTGCACCAGCCAGGCTGAGCTCTGGCCCCACGTTGCCTCTGACCAGCTCTATGAGCAAGTCATCCAACCTCTCCAGGTCTCAGTAAAATGGAAATTCGCTGATTCATTCATTCATTCAGCTAATCTGTTTTGAAGCCTGCGCTGTGCCAGGCACGGGGCGTCCTTCGCTACGTTGTTAGGAGATGATGTTGCCATGGTGCCCGGCAGCTGTAGCCACTCAGGAAATGGTGTGGCTGCATCCGCCTTCTCCGCTTCGCCTGGGTCCACCCTGGGTCTGAGGAGGAGGAGATCAGCCCAAGACCTCAGCTTTAACCCCAGAACTGCTCCGGGGCCTTTGTCCCTGTTGGGGGATGGGGTCGTGCAGCATAGAGGAGACTCACTGGTGGCTACGGTGTCGAAGTGGGGGTGGCCCTGCCTGCAGGAGGCCCTGGGAAGGCTCTGCCCCTCCCTGACGGGGCCTTTCCCACCCCAGGCCAGGAGGAGGGGAGCTGCCTGCCCCGCCCGCAGTGTCCCCAGGAGTGCTCCTGCCTGGACACCGTGGTCCGATGCAGCAACAAGCACCTCCGGGCCCTGCCCAGGGGCATCCCCAAGAATGTCACGGAGCTGTGAGTAGCCCCAGCCCTACCCCCACACTCCCCGTGGGCCCACAGGACGGAACCGAGGGGGCATTTCCCGAGGGGTCGGGGCCTGGCAGTGGGAGCGGGAGGTGACCGAGAGCAGGTACAAGCTGAGTAGGAGTTGGGGTCCCAGCTTTGCAGAAAACACCACTTCCAAGAAGGCTTTGAGCTTCTCTTTGATTCCTTCTCTGCAGTCGCCTGGGGACTCGAGTCCACATGGTGGCGAGTGCTTCGTCCCTTTCCCCAAGCTCTGCCTCTAAAATGAGGAACAGCAGTGCCTCTCCCACTCAGCACTGTCTCGGGAGTCTCTTGTGACACAGAAGTCTCACATGCGGTGCTTTTTACTGGTGACATAATGTTCTTCATGTGAATCTGCTACGATCCAGATAACAAATCCCCTTTTGTTGGATGTTTAAGTTGATTCCAAATCCTTACTGTCATAAACAGCACCAAGGTGAACATCCCTCCATGGCAAGCCCTGGGCGAAGAGCATCTTTAGGGTACCTGCTGCCTTTCTCCTGGTGTCTGTCCACGAAAGGCTGCTTGCTTTGGCTCCCATGAACTGTGTGCAAAGTGGCGCACAGTGGCCTGAGTACTGTGGTGCTCAGATCTGTTGACCAGGACGTGGGATCTGAGCTCCCGTGGCATGTGCATGTATGTGCATATGGCAAACGGGGGTGGAGAGCTGGGGCCTCGGTCAGCCCCTGACCTCTTCCCAGCCCCTGGGACTGATCCCTCCAGGCCTCCGTAGCTGAGCTTTGCTCTTCCCCGTGGCAGGCGCATGCGGTTTTCAGTTGCATTTCTCTCTTTACCAGCAAGGCTGGCCATTTCTTCACAAGCACATCAACCACTGCAGGCCTTTTCCTGTGACTCGCCTGCCCCGCCCTTGCCTGGTTTTCTATGGCAGTGTCAGGCTCTGGAAGCCTCTTGTGTCCTCATGTTCTTCTTGGTGCCTCATAGCAGCCCTGAGAATAGTGGGACAGGTGGGGCCGCCTGCCTTCTTTGACTGAGTTCAAGGGCTGGAAAAATCACTTGTCTTCTCTAAGCCTCAGTTTTGTCAGCTGTGAAATGGGGCAACTTGAGTGAATTGACAAGGGCTGCGGTGAGGATCCAATGAGATGGGTGGGAATTACTTTGTACGACACAGAGCGATGGGGAAGGATGAGTAGAGCCCTGATTTTGCTGCTCTCTGGTTCCTTGGGGAGTAGGGCAGAGTCCACCCCAAAGGGCTGCAATTGGTGGTGCCAGGCCCAGCTGGGCTCAGCTCCTGGTGCTTGGGTCACTCACTACTTGGCAACTTCTAGTCTCTAGGTAAGAACAGCAGGTAGGGGTGGGGGGGAGGTCTGAGCATCTTGAACCACAGCTCTATCCTGTGGAAATGGGAACAGTGGGAAGCCTTGGGCTTGGTGGATTTGGGTGGGCTTGGCTTTAAAGACAATGACTTGGATGGCAGTGGATATAGTTGGAGCCAGAGGGGAGGCCTTGGTGGGAAGACAGAGGAGGCTGCAGCAGGAGCCTGGGCCTGGGTGGCGGTGTGCAGTCAGGGTGACATGAGAGTAGGACAGAAACAAATGATGAGAGACTGGTGGGCAAGGGATGCCAGCGTAGTGGGACTGGCCGTGCAGGGGGAGTTGGAGAACTGACGTGAGGAGCAAGAGCCTAGACAGGTAGGACGCAGTAGTGCTGATGGAGTGGGGGAAGCTGGTTGGCAGGCTTGGGTCCGAGCCTCCCCACACCCGTGCCAGCAGGTAGAGAGTGGCCCTGGTAGCTGGCGAAGGGCCTGGTGACATGCAGATCAGATCTGTTTGTCCAGGAAAGCGCAGAGCAGGGAGGGAAGGGTGTGGGGTCTGGGGAGTGCCCACGGACAGGGAGGCTGAGAGGGCGAGAAGGGAAGTGGGAAGGAAGCCAAGAGAGACTTCATGTCTCAGTGGCTCTTACCAGGTTCTTTGGGTGGCAACTTCCCAAATGGCCTAAACAATGTTCCTGTTTTCTCCTCCCATGAGTGATTTGGGGTCGATGTGTGGTCCTCGTGTAGGAGAGGAAAGGAGTGAGAGGTCCCTGGCTGCAGGGAAGGTGCTCTGGCGGCGGACAGGTGCACTAACACTCCCTGTTCTCTCTGCAGCTACCTGGACGGGAACCAGTTCACACTGGTTCCAGGACAGCTCTCCACCTTCAAGTACCTGCAGCTCGTGTGAGTATCCAGGCCTGCCTCCGAGGACAGGAGGGCCTTTGGCGTCTAACCGTCATGGCTCCAGGTTTCCCCGGAATTTCCTGCAGACTCCACTTCGGGGCAGATCCTGCTTTGTCCCTTACACCTGCCCCTGGGAACATCGTGCCTGGAGCTGTTTTGCCACCTAGTGGCCATGCTTGGGAATTGCACTGCTCCAGGTCCTGCTGGGTCCAACCCTGCCTGCCTCTGCCCAGGCAGTGTCCCCAGACCTCCCTGGGCTGGTCACGACTGTTAATGCAGGTTCTCCTTGCAAGGATGGGAGCCAGGGAAGAAGTAGAAGGGGATGGAAGACATCCAGCCTCAGCCCCCAAACCAAATATGAAATATGACAGCTACAAATACACATCTGTAACTAAGTTTTTCTTTAGGCAAACATCTGCTTTTCTGTTATTTACATGTTTTACCCCTTCCATACCATGGAAAGATACAGAATAAGCTTTGGGGTAATAAGTTCAGCTCCTCTTAGCCTGCCAGCCTACTTAGCATCTCACTGCAATTGTCTTTATCTGCTCCTTGGCCAGATTCTACCAAAAAGAAGTCCCGAGACACTCCCTGTTAGTGTGGCTGGAGCCGCGCTCCTGACCTGTGGTCTGCGGGCAGTGTCAGTCCCGGAGCGGTGTGTGACGGGTCTGTAATCGGACGAGGAGCTCACCCCAGAATGGAGACCTGCACTTGCTTCCCTCGTTGAGAAAGTCCTGCTGTGACAGCAGTGTTAGCTAAGCTAGCTGTGTGTAGTGACGTAGGTGACTGCATTGTGCCCAAGTCCCTTGTGGGGGCTGGTGGCATTCAGTTCAAGGACTGGCTGCTTTGAGGGACACTGGCTAACAGACTTTCAGAGCTCCAATTTATCTGTCTTTGCTTAGTGACCTGGCGAATGTGTTTTGAGTGTCCCAAGCAGCGTGGGAGGGATACATTGATTTGGTGACAAAGTGCCAAAGAAAGAGGCTTAACACCACAAGTTTCCTCCAAGCTTTCTCTGGTCTAACCTGAGGCAGCTCCACCAGAGGCTCGGATGCGCTTGAGGAGGGAAGGAGGGGAAAGGACCGATGTCGGGCCGGTTCTCACATGATGCTGTGTCTGGGGGCTGCAATGCCCCCCTCCTTGTCACAGGGGAGGGCCGCAGAGTGCAGTGGGCATCCAGCGAAGTGCTTAAATACACCTCTAAAAACACTGGAATGAACTTGAATTAGACTAGTTAGAGGAAAGTTTAGGAGAAGATGAAGGCAAGTGCATTTTATAAACATTTCCTGAGCCAAGAGCTGTGTGAGGCGGGCAGATGTGAAGGCCCCTAAGTCATGGTCCCCCCTCCAGACTGCATGGTTTGGGAGGGTGCAGGAGAGGGGCCACACAGAGCCGTGTTCCCCAGAGGCCAGTGCGGTTAGGGCTGTGGCTCAAGGACAGAGTGATGAGGCCAGGGAGGAGCTGGGGGAGGGGGGAGCATCTTAGAAGACGATTCAGACTCACTCTTGGGCACAGGGAGAAGGATGCCCAGGGAGGGGCACGGAGGGGTGGCACGCCCAGAGAATGCCAAGAAGTATAGTAAATCCAGAGCCTGCAAAGCCTGGTGTTGGAGGGGTGGTCAATGGGCGGAGGAGGCAGAGTCCAGGCCCTGGAGCCCCCACTTTAGGCCCACGGAGACGTTGCAGGTGTTTTGGTAGGGAAGTGGCCCGGTCAGATTTGTGTGATAGGAGATTGCTGTGGGACATGGCTCAAAGGGGCAGAGCTGTGGGCGAGAAGCGATGTAAGAGTCCCAGGCAGACACCAGGAGAGTGATGACATTGGCGGGACACGCGCAGAGCCCCAGGAGCAGGTGCAGATGGGAAAGTGAGGAGCTGGGTGGAAGGAGGAGGTGGGGTGGGGGCGTTCCTGGGTAGCTTTGGCCCGGGGAGGGTGCACAGGCTGTGGGCTGGAGTCTGAGCGTCTGGGCCATCAGGCGGAGGGGAGTTCATAGGGCCACCAGGGAGGGCGCTGTCAGCACAGGATGTCCCTGAGGGCACCCAGAATGGACTGGGTGAGAGCCGAGATGAGGCTGTAGCCATGCCCACGCCTCAGGGGCGAGTGGGCAGGAAGCCGAGCTGACACTGGGGCCGCAGCAGAAGGGGAGGGGGAGCAGCAGGACAGCCAGGTCCCAGGAAAGGTGGGAGGTGAGGGTTTGGAGGAGAAGAAGGGTGGCCTGTGGTGCCACCCGCTGCAGGGTGGCTCTGAGAGAACACTGTGGCGACCTGGGTTGGGGGTCTGGGGCCTGGGGCTGGAGTTTGGCTCTGCCTCTGACCAGCTGGGTGACCCTGGTGAGTTGATCAGATCTGAGACTGTGGGTCTTTATTTGCAAAATGGGGTCACTCTTGCCTCGCAAGGCTTGTTGGAGGCTAGTGAACCAGCCCATGGAAAGTGCTGGCAGGAGACAGGAGCGAGCACTGGGGCTGGCAGCTGGGAAGTCGCCCATGCCCTTGGGCGCATTTCCAAGGTGGAAGGGGCAGCACTGGGCTCTGGTTGCAGGGGGGCAGGGAGGTGAGGCCGTGGAGGCCCGTGGCCCTGGGGACCTGGAGGCAGTTCAGGGAGCAGATGCAGGGCTGTGGCTAACAGTGCTCCTCTCCACCCCCAAGCCCCCCGGCCCAGTGCCAGTGGGAGCCCTGCCCACCTGGCTGGGGACAGCTGTGGACAGTGGGGGAGGGGAAGGCACCATGAGATGGAGCCAGGGTGACAGGGTTGAGTTCTTCCTTTCCAAACTGCGGTGCTTTTGTCTTTTCCAGGGACCTGAGTAACAACAAGATCAGTTCCTTAAGCAATTCCTCCTTCACCAACATGAGCCAGCTGACCACCCTGTGAGTCCCAGCCGGGGAGGGTGGGCGACACGCAGGAACATGCTGCCAAGACCTGCCCCAGCCCAGCCTGTGCCGGGCATTGCTGGCAGCCACGCGCAGGTGCCGCATGCAGACGCCCACCTGCCAGAGAGTGTGCTGCGGCCTGAGAGCCTAAAGACTTAAATACATCTGTCATTGTGAAATACAACCTACGGCATATACGGAAAAGTGCAAAAAATATAAATGCACAGTTTAACAAATAATCATAAAGCTAGCGCACATGTAGATAACGAAGTCAAAAACAACACTGCTCACACTGTAACGCCCTTCTCCCTGTCTGACCATCATTCCTCTCTCCCCCACTCCAGGGCAGCCCCTGCCCTGACTTTATGACAATCGCTTCTTTGATTTCTTTATAGTATTGCCACTCACATCTCCATTTCTAAGCCATGTATGAATAGCTTAATGTTGCCCATTTTTACCTTGTATAAATTGAATCATGTAGGACATATTCTTTTACATCTGGCTTCTTTCGCTTCACATTCTGTTCATGATTTCCATTCCTGTTGTGTGACTTGGTGGTCTGTCTGTTTCGTTGCTACATGGTGGTCTTTGCAGGAATGGGCCATCCTCGCCTCGTCCATTCTGCTATCGATGCATGCTGGAGTTGCCTGCAGTTTGGACGGTTGTGAGCAATGACCCTCTGGACATTTTTATGCCCATGTTCTAACATATTTTACTGATGGCTTTAATTATATTCCATGCAACTGATCCCGACGCACTACCAAGCATCCCTTACAGTTGCCTGGTGTGTGAGAGTATCTCATTCGCCTTCCAACAGCTCATTTTACAGATGAACTTACAGGACTTTCTCAAGGCTCTAGAGTGGTCAAACAGTAGAGCCAGTGCCCAGAAAGGAAGGAGCCTGATCCAGCCAGTCTTCGGGAGTAAGATGGGGGCCCCAGGCCATGAAGTCCCCATGCTGGGCTACCCACACTCGCTTGTCTGCCCCGGATCTGCTTCTCAGCCCATTTCACAGGCTTCATGGCAACCTGGCGACTTGATTGTTCTTGCTGGTGACGTTTAGCCTTGAAAGAGCCCTCCAGGTCTCAGTGAGCCTGTGTGGGAAGCTGCTTTGGTCTAGGGCTGTGATTTCAACCAGGAGATGCTGCCCTCCAGGGAATATTTGACAATGTCTGAAAATATTTTCGGTTGTCACAGCTCAGAGGGAGGGTGCTACTGGCATCCAGTGGCTACAGGCCAGGGATGCGGTGAGCGTCCTGCAGTGCCCCTTTGCCCCATGGCAAAGGCAGTCAGCGGTGCCGAGGGTGAGGAATCCCGCCTAGGTGATCTGGCAGCCAGGAGAGGAAACAGAAACATCCTTTCCTGTGATATGAATGTCTCATTTCTCTTATTACCTTTAAAAATAGCTTAGCAAGTTATAATTTATATACACTAAGCTGCACATACTATGAGTGCAGAATTTGATAAGTCTTTTTTTTTTTTTTTTTCCTTTTTGAGACAGGGTCTTGCTCTGTTGCCCAGCCTCAAGTGCCGTGGCGTCATTAGAGCTCACGGCAACCTCAAACTCCTGGGCTCAAGCAATTCTCCTGCCTCAGCCTCCCGAGTAGCTGGGACCACAGGCACGCACCACCACGCCCAGCCAATTCTTAAAAATTCTTTGTAGGGATGGGGTGTCACTATTGCCCAGGCTTGTCTTGAACTCCTGGCCTCCAGCTATCCCCTTGCCTCAGCACCCCATAGCACTAGGTTTACAGGTGTGAGCCACCACGCCCGGCCAGAATTTGATAGGTCTTGATACCTGCACACACCCAGGGACCTGTCCCCGCAGTCAGTGGTGCTGCTTCCCACCCTTCTCCCTTCCTCCCTCCCTCCTCTCCCAGCCCCCGCCCCGGGCAACCACTGCTTGTTTTCTGTCACTGTGGATTAGTTTGCATTTTCTAGAGCCTTACATGAGCAGAATCACAGCACAAACTCGTTTTTGTCTCTTTCCCCTGGCATAAGCATGTTGAGATCCATCCATGTGGTTGTGTGCACTGGCGGTGCCTGCCTTTTGATGGCTGGGCAGTATTCCATCGCATGCACGCGCCACAGACTGTCCATGACCCGCGGACAGGCGCCTGGGTGGTTTCCAGTGTGCCATTTCCCTTACCAATCTGCCTGTCTGCCCTGGATGGATTCATTTACTTGGAAGCCTTTTGGGACAGTGCTCTAACCTACGGGCTCTGGAAACTGAGAACCTTCATGAAAGCCCTTCTTAATAGTGACGTGCCCCTAGGGATGTTCTTTCACTTCTCAGAGCCTGAGTTTCCTAGTCTGTAAGATGGGGTAATAACAGTACTTTCCTCACAGTCATGGCTTCTTAATGGTAGATGAGTATAGACACCAGGACATCACCTGTCTGTCCTGGAAGTGATGGGCTGAGATGGGGGCTCCCCCGAGGAGGTCCTGGTCAGGTGCCGCCTTCCCAGGAACCCGCCTGGGCCCCTCGTGGGGCAGCTCCATAAAGGAACGTTCTCAGTGGCAGGAGCAGCAACTCTCCTTTACTAAGGGGCTATGTGGAGCCCAGCCCTGGGCTAAGAGCGTCACCTGGATTATCGTACTTAACCCGCAGAAGGGCCCTATCAAGTTGGCATCATTTTTGTTCCCATTTTACAGTTAAGGGAAGTGATTGCAGCAGAAGGGGATTAGGGGACACGGCCAAGCCCACCCAGTGACTAGAGCAGAGCCCGGCCTCCCCTCAGAGGGTGGAGGCTGCTGGGCAAAGTGACCCTCAGCATCCTGAGGTGTGGCTGTGCCTGCGGGGGCCTGGCAGTGACGCTGCCCTCCTCTTCCTCCTCCTCCCGTCCCCTCCCCCCTCCCCCTCCTCCTGCTCCCCCTCCCACAGGATCCTCAGCTACAACGCCCTGCAGTGCATCCCGCCGCTGGCCTTCCAGGGGCTGCGCTCCCTGCGCCTGCTGTAAGTTGCCCACTCTCCGCTCTTCTAGGAAATCCCCCACCTGGGGCCCTGCCACACTGCTCCACGGTGGCAGTCGCTCAAGCCTCTACTCTTGTTCCGTAGAAGCTGAGTCATGAATGGGAGATGGTTCAAGAAATGGGGGTTGCTGTCACCCCCAAGTTGAGTTTGTGGTGTGAGGGGGCATCTAAGATAAAGTAGCCTGTGTCATCTGCATGTGAGACTTCTGTTCCAATCGACGGTGAATGTTTGCAAGAAATTTGTGAACCCTTTCTATGAGTTCCCACTATGAGGTTTGTTTTGTTTTGTTTTGTTTTTGTTTTTATTTTTGTTTTTTGTTTTTAAGGCAGAATCTCACTCTCTTTGTTGCCCAGGCTAGAGTGCTGTGGCATCAGCCTAGTTCACAGTAACCTCAAACTACTGGGCTCAAGCGATCCTCCTGCCTCAGCCTCCAGAATAGCTGGGACTACAGGCATGCGCCACCACGCCTGGCTAATTTTTTCTATTTTTAGTAGAGACCAGGTTTCGTTCTTGCTGAGACTGGTCTTGAACTCCTGAGCTCAAGCAATCCTCATGCCTTGGCCTCCCAGAGTACTAAGGTTACAGGTGTGAGCCATTGCACCCAGCCCTGTGACCAAAGCCTTGTGACCAAAGCCCTCAGTTATGTCTGTTATGATGGCCTTTGTCAGCCTGGCAGGGTGCAAGGTGACATTCTCCCAGCCCTAATCTTGGCTGGCCTCATTAACTTCCTGTGCTCGGGCTGTCCAGCTAAGAGAGGGAGGGCACTCCATCCACGAGTCCTATTCATGATGTAAACATGGTGTCCATTATTCATGATGGCAAAAGTGGAGACCTCCAGAAGGACTGGGGGACAGTGTGGTCCACCTGGGTTACTAAGGGGTCCCTCTTCCTTCCCTGCGGCCAGCCAGACGGGGTCTCTGAGCTGGGGGCCACATCCCTCAAAGCACTGAGCAAGAGGCCTGGAGGGCAGCACGGCCTGTCCCCTCTCTGCAGAGGGCTGGCCTGTCCCTCCAGCAGGTCTCTGTCCCTCTCTGTCCCCTCTCTGTCCCTGGGTGAGGCACCAGCAGTCTCTTCTCTCCTCAGGTCCCTCCATGGCAATGACATCTCCACCCTCCGAGAGGGCATCTTTGCAGACGTGACCTCCCTGTCTCACCTGTGAGTAGCTCCGGCCCAATTCTCTGGGTCTCCTTCGGTTTAAACAGGGCTCAGTTTCGGAGGAAGACACCACCTCCTGAGGTTGGGTTTTTGCTTCTGTCCCGCAGTTAAGCTTGTGAGCCTCCCTTGCGCCCTCTCGGGCACTCGTGTGTCCCTGTCCCGTGGCTCGTCAGCTCACGAGCTGTAGTAAGGGTTGTGATGCCTGAGTAGTGATTGCTAAGCCCCTCCCTGCATCAGCTGGTGTAATCCTCGGCTGATCCCACAGTACAGGTACCAAGATTCTCATTGTGCACGTGAGGAAATAGGCGCAGAACAAGCGGGGAGCTTGCCCGCACTCGCACAGCTGGTCGGCGGTGGAGTTTGTGACTGTCACTCGCCACACCCGCGCTGCGCCTCTCAGCTCGCTCGGTGGGGGGTTAGCTCCGGACATTTGCAGCCTCCAAGAGGCGGCATCATCGGATGTAGGATTGCTTCCACAACCGTTTGGTTGGCAGTGCTGTGAGGATTCTTTCAAAAAGCTAAGCATAGGATTGCCGTATCCCCAGCGAGTCCACTCCTTGGAGTGCGCCCAAAAGAATGGAAGGCAGGGACTCAGACACCTGTGCACCGTGTTCGTTGTAGCATTTTTCGCAACAGCCTAAAGTGTAAACAGCCTACGTCCATCAACAGAAGATATATAAACAAAACATAGTATAAATACATATACAATGGGATATTAGCCATGAAAAATAATGAAGTTCTGACACATGCTACAACATGTATGAGCCTTGAAAACATGCTGAGTGAAACAAGCTGGACACAAAAGGACCAAAAGTGGCATGGTGGTTGCTAGGGGGCTGGAGGCGGGAGCCAGTGTTTGCTGAGTACAGAGTTTCTGTCTGGGTGATGGAAACATTTTGGAAATAGGTAGTAATGATGTTTACACAACATTGTGAATTTGATCAATGTCACTGAAGCGTACACTTAAAATGGTGAAAATGATAAATTTTACATCTCTATTGTACCATGTAAAAATGAAGAAATGAGGAAGCACTGGGCTGTGGCAGGGCCCAGGTCGGGCGGGGTGCAAAGCAGACACGGTCTCTCCTGGAATCTCTCGGTGTTACTGGCTGAGGAGGTGTAGGGGACAAGGACTGCGGCTGGAACCCTGGGACGACTGACTCCTTTTGCTCCATGCCCCACTCTGATCTCCCAGGGCCTGAGTGGGCATCCCAAGATCAGAGAGGTTTTTGGGGTGCCCAGCATCTCTTCTTGAAGTTTGTTCATTCAACAATCTCACTAGATTTTTCTCAGTTCTAAGATTCATCTTTTCCATATCTCTATTATTTTCCATAATCTCTAAAATCAGAGTGTATCTTACAGTGATGTGTATATTAATTAATCACATGGTAATGTCTCTCCCCCACCCAAAGCATGTCAAATCAGTGGTGCATCTAACAATCTCAGACTTGAGGAAGTAAAATAGTAACAGGTGCCACTCTTTGAGGATCTGCTTGAGTCAAATATTTTACTATGCACTTTATCTACAATGTGTCCTTTACTCCAAGTCCAAAATAGGAAGTAGGTTTTGAGTTTCCCGCCAGTTCCACGGATTGGCAAGAATTGCTTTGAACACTGCCCTAAAGCTTCCAGGGCTGGGCAGGACTCAGTGGGGAGAGTGCAGCAATGGATTAGTGATGTCTGCCATGGAAGTGGGAGGGGTGAGGGGCTCAAATTTATTATTTACATTTGATAGTCCCAGGTTCTGAAAACTTATGCAGCTTCCTTAGGTCATAAATCTAGGAAATGACAGGAACAGGATTTGAATGTAGGTGTGTCTGATTCCAAAGCTCTTTATTTACTTTTCACTCTATTGCCTCAGTAAATATGTCCTGGGTAACCAGGGTGAGTCACCTGCTGAAGAATTTACTAACACAAGGCTCCTGCCCTCTGTGACCACTTGGGACATTGTAAAGAGAATTCGAAGGAAGCAGTGACGGATTCTGGGGAAGTCTGAGGAGCTTCACAGCAGAGGCGCCATGGGTGCTGCCACTGAAGAGAGAAGGTGGGGAAGGGCACTCCAGGAACAGGGAACAGCATGTGCAAGGGCATGGAGGCAAGAGAGTAAATGGCACATTCAGGGATGTTGTTTTGTCCAGCATAGGATAAAAGGTGTTTGGTTGGGGGAAGAATGTGGGGTGGGAAGAGATGAGTCTGGAAAGAGACATTGGCATTCTGTTGTGAAGAGCTGATTGTGCCAGGCTAAGGAGTTCAGACTTTATCTTATAGACAAAAGGGAACTGTGCAAGAATTAAGTTGTAGAAAACTTCTGGAAAGCCAGTGGCGCCACATAGAGGGTGGGAAGGTGGGAGGAGGCAGGAGTGAGCCTGGTTGGAGATGGTAGCTCTGGACAAAGGCCAGGCAGGGAAAGTGTTGCTTGTTGTTCTTGCTGACTCACAGGGGCTTGTTTCCATTGGTGTTGGATAATTTTTGGTTGTGGGCTCATTTTTTTTTTTTGACATTAATCTTCAGGAATTCTGAGGACCTAAATTGGAGGTACAACTCTCCAGAGAGCATTTGTATGTGTCTCTGCTGGGCGCCAGGGGCTGCCACTGCCCTGGGACCACTTACCTCCTTTGCATAGCCCTGGGCTCTCCACCCGGCCAGGTAGGGCCTTTCCCAGCATCTAGTCCACCTTTCCTGGCTTTGGATTCCCCCTCGGTGCATCTCCTGTGCTTGGGTTTAAAGGTACACTTGGCTACCTTTCCTCTTTCCTCATGAGAATTGAATAACACCTGAGTGCATCTTGCCTCCAGTTCAAAATCTAGAGGCTTTATCTTTCAAATGGGAAGTGAACAGGCAACATATGTTTTGAACAAACAAACTAAAGGTGCAAAAACAATTTTTGAGTCAACACCTATCTATATATTCAGACTTTCTTTAGGATACTCTAACACCGGGCCAGAAGCCAGATCCAATTTATGAGAAATGAACCAACAAATGAAGATCAGTTTAGCAGTGGTTATAAAACGTGGCATTGGCATTACTGATGAGATGTGTTTATTGATTGCATCTAAGTCCAATTTGTCTACAAAACAGCATCTGTGTGAAAGAAATCTTCCGTTGTTATGAAGCAACCTTGGGAATAAACTCTGCCTTTTATACCCAGGGTTTATGATGGAGACAGGCGGTAGCCTGGACGATGTACATGTGCTTGCATTTAGGTGTGCACACATGCAGTATTGATGGGCCACACGTGCGCGTGCACACGCACATGCAGTATTGATGGGCCACACGTGCGCGTGCACACGCACATGCAGTATTGATGGGCCACACGTGCGCATGCACACACACACATGCAGTATTGATGGGCCACACGTGCGCATGCACACACACACATGCAGTATTGATGGGCCACACGTGCGTGTGCACACACACATACAGTATTGATGGGCCACACGTGCACGTGCACACACACATGCAGTATTGATGGGCCGCACGTGCACACACACATGCAGTATTGATGGGCCACACGTGCATGTGCACACACACATGCAGTATTGATGGGCCACACGTGCACGTGCACACACACATGCATTGTCTCCTCTGGGCTCGAGAGCTGCAGCAGTTGCAGCAGTTGCAGAAAGATTTCTTGGGCACTTACAAGCAGTTGAGGACGGGTAAGAGGATGACATATACTCACTGCATTCACTCTGGGCTTTACGAAAGCCACATGCAATTTGAAGGGAGGCCTCACCCAGGGCTCCAGAACAAATCACGACTGGCCGAGAGTTAGCATCTGGGGCTTGGCTCCCGAAGGTGCTGATGTTCCTAAGAAGCCCCCTGATCCCGATGAGACTTTGGCTGGGCCTCTCTTCACTGGCAGTGTGGACGAGGGGTGGATGGGGTGAGGGTGTGGCAGAGGGGCCCACATTTAAACCCCTTGAACTCTAGACTTGGGGCTATATAGGTCCTTGTTTTGCCATCAACTTGCAGTGGGATCTCAGCCAATTCATTCTTCTCTTTAAGCCTCTTCTCTCACCACTACTAAGGTTATTTGTAAGGTCTCCTATGGTTTGAACGTGCTGTAATGATTGTGAGCACTCTTCACTGCCTGGGCCTCCACACCCGGCACCTCTCTCTGCTGCTGTTTACTTTTGTGTTTACTTTGCAGTCAGCTCACTTTCATCCTTCTGCTAGTATCTACTACGTGCCAGATCTGCGTTCCCCAGTGCCACTCTGCATTGCTATAATCTGGCACTTTGTTGCCTCTGTATGTGAGAAAAGTAAATATAGAATTATTGGGTTAATTATGACATGCCTATATGACAGAACATTACGTAGTTAGTAATAATTAAGACATTGTAATTTTGTTTTTTTCTTTTTGAGACAGAGTCTCACTCTGTTGCTCAGGCTAGAGTGCCGTGGCATTAGCCTAGCTCACAGCAATCTCGAACTCCTGGGCTCAAGCGATCCTCCTGCCTTCCGAGTTGCTTGGAATACAGGCATGCACCACCATGCCCAGCTAATTTTTTCTATTTTTAGTAGAGACGGGGTCTCACTCTTGCTCAGGCTGGTCTCGAACCCCTGAGCTTAAGCAATCCTCCTGCCTTGGCCTCCCAGAGTGCTAGGATTACAAGCGTGAACCACCACGCCCGGCCAACACTGTAATTTATTATTTGATAAAAACCCAGAATAAAGAGGGTGTTCACTCTGATTTCAATGATGGACAAATATGTATACGAGATTTAGAAGGGAATACACTAACAATGAATTAGTTACATTTATGGGATGATAGATGATTCTTTCCTTTTTCAATTTCCTTTGCACAGAGGTTTTGTGCCTTTCTGAAGCTTTGAGGCAGGCATTCATTCACTCAGCAAACAATACTGGTGCCTGCTAGTCTCTGATGGGGCTGCGGATTCAGTGGTTCCTGCCCTCGAGGCCCCCTTCCACTGCCCCTAGGTCCAGTAGGATACAGAGGTACAGTAAGTAGATTGCCTAGGGGTGCGATGGACACGGGAGATGCCGCTTGGGTGAAGGAGACTTAAAAGTTCTAGTGTATGTTAACCTCTACACTTGGCGACTCCGTGGGACAGCCAGGGGAAGGCTATTTCAGTCCAGGTTACATAAATAGAAGCTGAGCAGGGCCTTGGCATGCACAGACTAAATAGCTACTGCTTCAGCTATTTCCAAATTATATCAATGAGCAACAACACGGGGTTATTTATACTTTCGCTGGGGTGTGTACCTGAATCCACAGTCCTTCTGGAATGACCTGTGGCCTGGCTACTGTCCCCCCATCCCCACCACGTCTCAAGGGGCCTGTGGCTCTCCACGCCCCACTGAGTTCACGGAGCTTTCAGTGGGAAAACCGGTCCCAAGACGACTGAACTCAAGTCCTACTGAGGAGAGGGCACAGAGGTCCTTAGCCACAAAAATCAAGCCTTTGGATAAATTAAACCTTGTCATATTGAATTCACGTGTGGCTCAGAGTCTGCCTGATACAGAAACAAGGGAAATCACGTGTGTGTCAAGGCAGAATTTCTTTCCGTGCCACTTTGGTCCCATAGTTTTTATTAGGAGTCAGAAAGGGACACTTAGATTTGAAGTACAACTTTGCTGCTGTTCGTGGGATCGGCACGTGCATGGATCTGGTGATCCGTGATGACCCTAAGATGTGTGGAGACCCTTCACATTCACAGGGCCTCAGAATTAGTCTTTCTGGCATATTCTCTAAGTGAGGTGCTTCCAACTCGTGGCTCATTACCGGACCACACTCCTTGGATGCACTATAAAAAATATGTTTAAATAAATTCTGTAGTTATCTTTTTGAAATGTACTTTTTATTAGTATAAAATATCAATCTGGTGAATGCACACATTTTAAATATACTGCAATTTTTGCATTCCTGTTATTTTTTTTTTAAAGTCTTTGTGTTTTAACACACTGGAGCTTCCAAGAATCAAAGTGTCTGACCTTTCTCCACGTCTGAGAGGCCCTGTGCTGTTCAGCGGAAGGAGGAAGGTGTCTCGCTCGTCCCATTAGCCAGGATGGATGCTGTCAGCAAATAAGAGTAGAAAAAAATTAAACACACGTCAAGGTTGAACCTGCTTTCTTTTCTGAGCTGTGTATTCCCTCGGCGCCCATTTTAGGTTATACGAGCTTGTGTTTCTTCTCCCTCTAGATTGCGGGCTCTTTATCGAATCATAAAGGGAGCCCCAGAGATGTTAAGTGAACCGCTCAAGGTCGCCTGGGCAGGGGGCAGCTGCTCGGGGCCACAGTCCAAGTCTTGTTCGGCCCATCTTACAACATCGCACAATGTCAGCTGCGCTATTTTGGGAAATTCCTGTTCAGAGCTGCTGCTTTTATCAGACTGTGCACATCTCAGGGGGAGCCACTTCCTCCGTACTGCCCAGAAACAGGTGGGACGCGGCGGTGCCTCCATTGGTTACCTAATAGCTGTGCTCGTTCCCATTAACATTGTACAGCCTTGTATTTTCAGAATAATGTTGCTATCGAACTTCAGGCACAAGGCACCAATTTTTCTACTTGCTGAGTCAAAGAACTCTGGCTCTTCCTTTCCCCCAAATCTGTGTCTTGTTCATCTCAAAGTCTCTCCCTGTGACTTAGTGAAATGATTCTGAGCTCGCCCACCGGATTGGAAAGAAATGAAGCGATTGGCAGTACGCAGCATCAGGGCCTACGTGAGAGCAGGTGCGGCCTTACACTGCTGGCCAGAGTGAGCTGAGGGGACCTTTTGGGGGGTGGCTATGAATATACTCCACGAACTTCCTCTCCCCCCTGGATCCTACTTCTAGGCGTCTGTTCTAGAGAAATGCTCACACATCACAAAGAGGCACATACAAGTGTTCACTGGCGTTGGAAACAACCAGAATGTGCAGCAACAGGGAAATTGCTCACTGAGCTCTGGGGTGTCCATTCTGTGGGACACTGTGATGCAGTTTGACAAAATGAGGTGGATCCATACAGGCTGGTCCGCAGACGTGCTGTTTGGTGTCAAGAAGTAAGATGCTCAGTAGATGACGTGCAGTGGGTGTGATTTATGTAAATGTGGGCAAGGTCGGAAGGCTGCACACCTGAGCATGGTGACCACGTGACCATGTGTCTCCCTGGAGGGCAGGGACAGTGGGGTGTTGGGCTTTTTTTGTAATGTGGATGTGTCATAGTGTATTTAACCACTGCCCCACTGATGAACACTGGGCGTTTCCGGCCTTTCTGTTATGAATAACACCATGACGCCGATGCCTTTACCTGCTTGTGCAGGTGTATCTGTGAGATAAACTCCCGGAAACAGAATTGGTGGCTCAGAAGGCCACTGCATTGGCAATGTGATAGATATCTCAAGGTCCCCCCAAAGGAGTTCCACCATTTTCACCCCTATCAGGAACACAGGAACATGCCTTTAAAAGAATTGGGGTGAAATTCACATACTATAAAATTAACCTTTTTAAGTGTACAACTCAGTGGCATTTAATCATTCACAGTGTTGTGCAGGGCGGAGACTCGCTTTGTCTGCAGTGTTTGAAAGTGGCTTACAATAGGAGTGTGTTCATGTGTTCTTTGTTTAATTAAAGATGAAAAGGAAAGTAGAAGAATGTGGGCTTCAGAGGCAGACAGCTCTGCGTCTGGATCCAGGGTCTGCCCTTGGCTAGTTGTGTGACTCCAGGGACATCAGTTATTTCCCAGGAGGCTCAGTTCCCACATCTTTGAGATGGAGAAGAGAAAAGGTGCACAGTGAGGCTACTGAGAACATTTGGTGCACGAAGGCAGGAAAAATAGCTGTCCCATGGTGGCCGTGCATGTTGGCCGCTTTCTTCCCTGTGTATGCTGGAGGCAATGCATTTGTAGGCTCTGGCTCCAACAGCACAGGTTCAAATCCCAGCTCCCCTGTTTCTCTGTGTGATCTTAGGCAAGTTCCTCAAACTTTCTGGGCCTGAGTTTCTGCACATGTAAAATGGGGATAGTGTGTGGCGAGGACTAAGTAAGGTAAGGCATATGAAGTGCTCAAAACAGCACAGGCGACACAGCAAATGCTCCTGGAATGGGGCCGTTAGGAGTTTTGCCAGTGCCTGGCACAGTGTCTCGGGACCCTGGGTGCCCCATGGGTAAGGACCCTGTGAACCCGTAATGCCTGCTTCTCCCTGCTCTCTGCCCCAGGGCCATTGGTGCCAACCCCCTGTACTGTGACTGCCACCTCCGCTGGCTGTCCGGCTGGGTGAAGACCGGCTACAAGGAGCCAGGCATTGCCCGCTGCGCAGGGCCCCTGGACATGGAGGGCAAGCTGCTCCTCACCACCCCTGCCAAGAAGTTTGAATGCCAAGGTGAGCCCAGGGGCACGGCCTCCTGCTGCTGGGGCCGCAGAACTTGCCCAACCCTGGCAGGGCCCTCCTGACACGCCTGTGTCCCTGTGGTGACCGCTGGTGGGGGTGGTGACAGGAGTGGGGCACCTGTTGCTTGCTGGGATAGCTGCCTTCCAATCCTGACATATCACAACCCAAAAGAGCCGGGGAGAAAAACCTCAGGCCATCAGGGCTTTAATCCCTCCCTGTGGTTATGTAAGGAAAATCAAAATAGCAGCAGCGTTTCTGGAAGCTCCAGGCCTCTCAGCAGTGTGAGCACTCAGACCTCCCCCGGTCGGAATTGTGCTCAACGATTAGCTTAAACCCCTCTCAGTCCCTGGGGGAACCAGGACTCAGCTGCCACTCTCCTGACATTTGCAAGGCTGCAGAGCCTGCGTGTCACCGGAGGCTCAGTCGGCTTTGCTCTGAGACCCTCACCTCAGGCGTCTGTAAATCCTTGTTCAGGGCTTGACTGACGGACTCACGGCCCCAGGGGCCCTGCTGAGCTCAGACAGGTGGCCGAGTAGCTGCCTTGGGCCTGGCTGTCTGTGCAGGGGACTGCTGGGGGAGGCCACCGGAAGCTCTGGGCCACGGCCCCTGCCCTCTGCAAGCTCAGAGGCCGCCGTCGGAAATGAAGCTGACAGCCGTAGGTTAATGAGGAGGCCCCGGGCCACCCTGCGTGTAGGATGCTGCCCTAGCCATAGCAGTCCAGCCGTAGCAGTTCAGGAGGCTTGGCTGTGGGGAGCCAATTCACGTTGAAACATTTGCTCCATGTTTATTTAATGGGGTGGGGTTGGTGCTGGTGGGAAGAGGTTTTTTGTTATTTTTTTTTTTTTTACTTTCTATTGAAACATAACACACATACAGAAAAGCACACAGACACGAGAGACTGGCTCACTGACTTTTCACAGACTGAACGCACCCAGGTACTCCTGAACCCCACCTGTGCCCCAGAGCCCCTCGTGTGTCCTCAGCCTTTGCTGAGAAGTGTTTGCGTTTCTGTTCACACTCACGCCTCCTCAGCGGAAGCGATGTCCCTCCGCTGCTAGGAGTCCCGTGGGGCAGCCCGAGCTCACTGCCTGCTCGTCTACTTAGGCTTGTGAGGTCCCACCACTGCCCTGAGAGGCGGCATCCAGGTGGCCTGACTGCTCCTCCATCCACCTCTGCAACCAGTGCGTCCTGGGGGGCTGGAGAGGAGCCGCCATAGCCGGGGAGGTGACAGGAAAAGGTCCCCTGTGGTCCAGGCTTGAGGGGCACCCCTGAGGCAAATGGACCCTTTCTTTCCCCTGGTGTGGCCACCTGGGCTATGGTGTGATGCTCGCTGGGCCGGGGTCATTGGCTCAGTAGGGCATGAGGGGACAGAGGAGAGGTCAGCCAACCACAGTCATGGGGACTGTGCTGTCCTCACACTGAGGATGCAGCCCTGACGCCACGTGTCGCGGTGGTGCCGGGCAAGCACGCTTTGCCTTTGCCGACGGGACTCGCTGGTTCAGCTTCCCGCCCTGGGGCAGGGCTGCCACAACCCTGCTCTACAGGGGAGCGTCTGGAGGCTGGAAAGGCGGACTGTGCGAGGGGTGTGAGCACCATCCGGAGGAGGTGTAGGGCGGCACAGTCTCCTGGGGCTGGGCTGCTCAGGGCCAGGGGCTCCCATGCTGCCCCTCCTGCCCTGATGCCCCCTCTTGCTGCAGGCCCCCCCACTCTGGCAGTCCAGGCCAAGTGTGATCCCTGCGTGTCCAGCCCGTGCCAGAACCAGGGCACCTGCCACAATGACCCCCTCGAGGCGTACAGGTGTGCCTGCCCCAGCGGCTACAAGGTGAGTGGAGGCCGGAGGAGGAGGCCCTTGTGTGCGCTGTGGGGCAGGGCAGGTCTGTCTTGTCACCACGCTGGCCCCAGTGCCCAAAGCACTGCCTGGCTCAGAGCAGGCACTTGAGTAAACCTGTAATCTGTGACTAAACATATGAATGAATGAGTGAACAAATGCATGTCACTCTGGGCAGCAGGGCTGGGCTGCTGAGGGCTGGCTGGCTGTTGGCCCATACTAACTCCCTGGTCCCTCTGGGGTCCCCGTGGCTGACTGTCCCCCAGGGCCGAGACTGCGAGGTGTCCCTGGACAGCTGTTCCAGTGGTCCGTGTGGGAACGGCGGGACGTGCCATGCACAGGAGGGCGAGGATGCCGGCTTCACGTGAGTTGCCCGGAAGGGCAGCGCCTAAGCCCCGGGGTCTCCTCCCGCACTGGGGACAGCCCAGGCCTCCCTGTGCTCTGGGGTTGGGACGGGCTCAGGGGAGCAGGCATGTGCTCCAGATCACAGCCAGAGGGGCTCTGTGACGTTGCCCAGGTGGCCAGGGGACAGCCGAGTCCCCCAGCACACAGGCCTCCAGGGGTGAAGGGTGCTCGGAGCCGCCTCTGCTGCCTCCTGCCCCTGCCAGGTGCCAGAGGGCCTTTAGAAGGCACTGGAATCCCAGGCCAGGGGCGTATGCCGTGCGGTGCCAAGGGGCAGACTGGGGGCATTTGAGAGTCCCGTACAGCTCTGCTTCCCCCAAAGCCCCACCCCGTCCAGCAGCCTGCTCCTCAGGCCAGTGTCACTGTGGGCAGGGCCCCCACCAGCCCTCCTGTCACGTGGACCCCGAGCCCCCAGACACAATCTAGGCATCTCCGCCCAGAGTGGTCAGCCGAGGCCTAGGCGCTTCCTCTGGGGTCCTCCCCATCTCATGAGCACGCTGGTCACTGTGGGGAGGGGACAGTCCCACTGTATCGTGACCTCATCTCCCAGGTCTTTCCAGTGCTGACTCCACTTGCCCCCCAGGCCCCCCACTGATCTTCCCCTACAACCCAGTTGAGCCCCCGCCCCCCGCCAGAGCTTTTCTGAGGAACATGTAGTATTTAGTGGCTGAAAATAAATTGCCAGCTCAACAAATTGGCTCTTCAGAAAATGATGTAGAATCTACCGTCAGAGATGGCCAGACCTGCCTCCGCAAACCTAAATTACCAGATGTAAAAAATAAAACGCTAAATGGCCTCTCTTTCTGCATCACCTTGGAAACGGCATCCTCACAATAGGTTCCCGCCGCCTCCTGCTCAGCGAGCAGCTCTGTCAGGGCTCCCTGGTCCTTAGACTCCTCGCTGGGGACGAAAGGATCCCCCAAGAATCTGGGGTCGGTGGGGCAGCCCCCCTGTGCTCAGCAGCCTTACAGATGGGGGGGACTGTGACATGGCCCCTGCCTCCCGGGTGGGAAGGGGGAGCCTCCCTGGGTCCCCTCAGCCCTGCAGCTCACCAGGGCCCCATCTGTCCTGCCCCGACCTGAGTCCCCACCAGAGGGCATTGTCTAAAATGCAGAGTTGATTCTGTCACCCCACGGGCCCCAGCTTCGAACCTCCCACTGGTGTTCCCCAGCAGCCTTCCGGGGAAGCACAAAACCCCAGAACGTGTCCTGCGGCAGTGGTCTGTCATTTTCACTCTCAGACCCCCAAACACGTTTTGAAAACCACACACCCCTTTGCACATTCTTAGATTGACACTTAGAATTTTTCATTATTAAGTTTTTCATTGCAACAGAGGTGATTTCCTGGATACTGTAAATATTATTAACATTTAAAAATAAAATGATCGGGCCGGGCGCGGTGGCTCACGCCTGTAATCCTAGCACTTTGGGAGGCCGAGGCGGGCGGATTGCTCGAGGTCAGGAGTTCGAAACCAGCCTGAGCGAGACCCTGTCTCTACCAAAAATAGAAATAAATTAATTGACCAACTGAAAATATATATACAAAAAATTAGCCGGGCATGGTGGCGCATGCCTGTAGTCCCAGCTACTCGGGAGGCTGAGGCAGAAGGATCGCTGAGCCCCGGAGATTGAGGTTGCTGTGAGCCAGGCTGACGCCACGGCACTCACTCTAGCCTGGGCAACAAAGTGAGACTCTGTCTCAAAAAAAAAAAAAAAAAAAAAAAAAAAAAATAAAATGATCACTTTAAATTACTATTTCATCATTCTAATGGAATCCGAATCACACGGCAATTTGATACCATTTTTAAATGATGCAAACAAGCTCCTCTTTAACAATTAAGCGTTTTACCTTGTTCTTTCTTCTTGAATTTGCATTTCCATTTTAATGCCCACTCTCCCCGTTTTTCTTCTAAAGTAATATATTTTTATGCTAGAGAGTCATTTATGGAGCACCCGGCCATACTCTCTGCCACCAACATGGGTACATAAATTAAAATTTAAAGTTTTTTTCTTATTTCTTGTCACCTTAAGCCTCTGATTAAAAGTTTCTTTTGCATTGAGTTATCCTTACAATGGCCAATAATATATAATAGTTCAAAACAACATAACTGTATTATAAAATTTGACTGACAGTTATTACACATAAAAGTGAAATTGTATTAGATGGTTTCTCTCTTAATGAGATGGATGGATTTTTGTTGTTCTTTTTTGCTCCTAGTTGGTTCGGAAGAATATTACACATGAGTCAGGGCTCATGGTCCATCTGTTCCTTTTTTGTTTTGTTTTTATAGTTATAAGTTCTGGGAAATTGTGTCCACGTAAATAAACCGATGAGATTAGGAGTTTTATTATAGCCATGGCACTCAATTCTTTGAAACATGTCCCAGTTTATATGCCAAAACTCCAGAGTGATCTGTCATCAAAATTATTTTTAATGTTACATCAGCTGACAATCACAGGGGCCTGCCTTCCATTCTTTTTAATGCACTAGAAATGCACTTTTTAATGAACTAGAAACTTTTTGACTTACAACAGGATTTGTTCACTGACATTCTGAACATCGATATTCCTAATTGTCCTTTTATTTGGTGCCTGGAGGCATGTCCCGCTCGGGCTTGGGCTGGGAGAGATGCACCTTTCTAGAGCTCTGGGGCAGGTTAATTTAGGGAGGAGCTCATGCAGCAGTTTGAAGATGTAGAAATGACTTTCTGGGACTTCCCTCTCTGACGCACACACCCCTTAGAAAACCTCAGGCACCCAGGGGAAGATGCACCCTGGTGTGAAGATCACTAATCTCCTGGGCCCTCCATGCGGTGGCTCCTGCTCATCCCCTAGCCCCGTCCTCACCCCGTCCCTGAAGTCTGTGCTCCTGAAGTGCTGGACTATGTGCATGAGCCAGCCCCTTCCAGAGGACTGGCCGTGGGGCTCCCTCTCACTCCAGGCTTCACACACACCTCTGCTCCAGCTGCTTTCCCTGCCCTGCTCTCCCCTTCAGGGTCCTTCATTCATCACCAATTTATCACCTCCTCCAGGAAGCCTGCCCTGACTATTCCCCCACAAGGAAGAGTCAGATGTCTCCTGTCTCTTTGTGTCCCCTCTCTGGCCTCAGTTCTTACACCGCCCTCTACCCAGTACCTCTCCTCTGGTTGCCCATCTTCCCTTTGTGTCCCCACTAGACTGTGAGCCCCATGGGGATAGGGCCAGTCCCTTGCCTCTGACCACCCCCAGCACCGAGCACCTAGCAAGGGCCTGGCCCGGAGCAGGGACCATACACTGGAATCATATTCGACTGGTGGCCACAGGCTTCCACTAGTTTCCCAGGAAGCCTCTCCATCCTCCCTCCCCCACAGGTGCTCCTGTCCCACCGGCTTTGAAGGACCGACCTGTGGGGTGAACACGGACGACTGTGTGGAGCACGCCTGTGCCAATGGGGGCGTCTGTGTGGACGGCGTGGGCAACTACACCTGCCAGTGCCCCCTGCAGTATGCAGGTAAGCGTGTCGGGCTCGGGCGTCTGGGGCAGGCGGGGGCCAGAGACTCCCTACGCCCCCTGCCTGTGGGTGGAAGGGCTGGCTCCCCTCGATGTCTGTAGCAGGTTTTCTCTGGGCCTGGCCGCCCGGCAGAGCACAGGAGAGCAGCTTCCCTCCTGCCTCTCGCCTGTTCTTTCCCCAGGAAGGGCCTGTGAGCAGCTGGTGGACTTGTGCTCTGTGGACCTGAACCCATGTCAGCACGAGGCCCGGTGTGTGGCCACCCCGGACGGGCCCAGGTCAGTGCTGCCCCTGTCCAGGGCCAGGGAAGGGCACGGGCCGCCAAGTCACACTGGACCCCCGTTTCCTCACCTGCCGAGGGTTTGGTCTCAGGTGTTCAGGGCTCCCAGGAACCGGTGTGGGGGAAGTCATGGGCAGCGCTTCGTGGCCAGGCAGACCTGGGTTTGCAGCATGAGCCCGACGGGTGGCTTGCCTGCTCTGAGCCCGTCTCCTCCTCTGTAGACTGGTCACAACGGTAGCTTCCTCCCAGGGTGGGTGCAGGGGTTGGATGAGAAAAAGAAAGCCCTTAGCTCCATGCCTGACATCTGGTGAGTGCTCCATAAATAGTTGTTATCATTCCAGATCCACCATTTCTTATCCCCAATTACAAAATCCACAAAATTCTGAAAACCAAAAGCCCATCTGATGGTAAAATCTGACGTGACCTGAACATATTTGGTCATAGCAGCTGAGCCGCGTGGATCAGAGGTGGCTTACAAGGTGTTAGCGGTCCCACGCAGTGTGAGTATGTGCAGATTTTGCTGCCGAAACGTGAACGTGTCTGATTATGGGGCTGTCTCAGATCCTACCAGCAAGTTATGACACAATGTATGGCCTTACCAAAATCCAAAAAGTTCAGATTCCCAAACCTGTCTGGCCCCAGGAGGTCTGGATAAGGAATCATTGGCATCATCATCATCACTGCCAGTATTGGAACAGGTGGAAGTGCTTTGTCACTTGAAGACTGTTGAATGAAAACCATGGGTTTTAAAAATGTCACTCCCATTTGCAGTTTTGCAAACTGCAGTGTCATTTCTGGGACCCCACATTCCACCAGTCAGGGTGGCAAAGGGGGTCAGGGCAGGATTTATTAATTAATTAATTTATTTTTTGAGACAGAGTCTCACTCTTTGCCCAGGGTATAGTGCCGTGGCGTCTGCCTAGCTCACAGCAACCTCAAACTCCTGGGCTCAAGCAATCCTCCTGCCTCAGCCTCCCAGGTAGCCAGGACTACAGGCATGTGCCACCATGCCTGGCTAATTTTTTCTATATATTTTTAGTTGGCCAATTAATTTTTTTCTATTTATAGTAGAGATGGGGTCTCGCTCTTGCTCAGGCTGGTTTAGAACTCCTCCCGCCTCAGCCTCCCAGAGTGCTAGGATTACAGGCATGAGCCACTGTGCCTGGCCAGGGCAGGATTCCTTAAGGGCTTGTGGATGAGGGACCCTACGTCCTGCTGGGAGTAGGGCCAGCACCAGGGGTGGGGTCCCCCAGGGAGGCGATGGTCTAGCCAGAGCAGTCTGAAGCCCGCACAGAGAAAGCAGGAGTCCGGGGATCATTGAGGCCAGACCCACGGCCGATGGGCGCTATGGGTTCTCCAGACAAGTGAGAGTGGGCACCACACTCCTGCCCGGGCTGCCAGGGTGCGCTTGGCAGCAGACGGAGGAGCAGTGGCAGATTGGGTGGCATGTGCCCTCCTCAGAGGGGCAGGACCTCTGAGGGTGGAATAAGGCAGGATTGTCCATTGTCCAGGCGGGGACAGCTGGCATAGTCCCTCACGCCAGGACGAAGGCACACCATGCTCTGCCCTGGACCTGGGGTTGCAGCACCCAGTGGGCGTACAGTGTATGTTCTCTCCACTTCCTGTCCTAGTAGAAAGATGGAACTGACAGACACTCAGCTGTGCATGGCATTGTCCCTGGAACCTACCAAGTATTCAGTATACAGTCACTGAGTGAGTGAATGAATGAATGAAAGAAAGAATGAATGAGTAGTTGATGGCTTAGCTACTGTAACGTATTTTAGACTATAGCTCCAGACTCATTAGTGGGTTGTGATCAATTAGATATAAAGGAGCCCCCAGCTCCCATTTAATGTTAATGTCAAAATTAACATTAAAAAATAAAACAGAAAATATCAGAGAGCAACATACCATTTTATGTAGTCAGGATAAGTATTGTATGGAAATGATTGTGTGTGTGTGTGTGTGTGCTGGACAGAGGTTATATTTCTTTTCTTTTCTTTTCTTTTTTTTTTTTTTTTGAGACAGAGTCTCACTCTGTTGCCTGGGCTAGAGTGAGTGCCGTGGCGTCAGCCTAGCTCACAGCAACCTCAAACTCCTGGGCTCAAGCAATCCTGCTGCCTCAGCCTCCCGAGTAGCTGGGACTACAGGCATGTGCCACCATGCCCGGCTAATTTTTTCTATATATTTTTAGTTGGTCAATTAATTTCTTTGTATTTATAGTAGAGATGGGGTCTCGCTCTTGCTCAGGCTGGTTTCGAACTCCTGAGCTCGAGCAATCTGCCCGCCTCTGCCTCCCAGAGTGCCCGGACAGTATTTCTAATAACCTCTCCTGGCCGCCCAGGCTCTGGGCTGAGCGTGCGGCTGACCACCCAACCACCCCTGTCCACCCCCAGGTGTGAGTGTGCGCCAGGTTACGCAGGTGACAACTGCAGTGAGAATCAGGATGACTGCAGGGACCACCGCTGTCAGAATGGAGCCCAGTGTGTGGATGAAATCAACAGCTACTCCTGCCTCTGTGCCGAGGGCTACAGGTGAGCAACCCTTGAGTGCACCAAAAGTGATTTCTGGTGGATGTCAGCTCCTGGGCCGGGAGGAGCCCCCAGCCATGGCCAGGGAGGGGTGAGGGTCAGAGCCTGGGTGGTGGATGCTGGGGTTGAACTTTCCCATTGGGAAAGTTGCGTGACTGCTCAGAGCCTAGGCAGAGGGTCCCCAGCCTGTGTGGCGAAGGGGGTGGGAGGTGGGTATAGGTTCCTGGGCAATGCCCTGTCACCTGCCCAGCCAACCTCTGATGACATGTCCTGCCATAAAGGTTGCCTACCTTCCCACCTGGGCTCCCCGGGGAGGTTGGACTGACTGCCCTCCTTTTGGCCACCCACCTCTGATGCTCTGCTCGTGTCATTTTTAGTAAAACAGTTTTTTTGAGATATATTAATAATTCACATACCATACAGTTCACCCAGTTAACATGTAAAATTCAATGGCATTTAGTATATTCCCAGAGTTATGCATCCATCACTACAATTTTATAACATTTCCATTACCCCAAAAAGAAACTCCTGATTTGTCACCCAAACCCCTCCCCTATCCCAGCTCTAGGTAACCGCTAATCTACTAATATTTATGTCTACAGATTTTCTTATTTTGGATATTTTGTATAAATGGAGTCGTACAATCTGTTGTCCTTTGTTTCTGGCTTCTTTAACTTAGCAGAACATTTTCAAGGTTCATCCATGTTGTATCACGTATCAGGACTTCATTCCTTTTTATGGCTGAATAATATTCCATTGTATGGATACACTGCATTTTATCCATTCCTCACTTGATAGGCACTTATGTTGTTTCCACTTTTTGGCTAGCATGGATACTGATGCTGTGAGCATTGATGTACAGGTTTTTGTGTGGACATACATTTTCAGTTCTCTTGGGTACACACCTTGGAGTGGATTTTCTGCATCAACTGGTGACTCTGTTTAACTGTTTGAGGAACTGCCAAACTGTCTTCCAGTGACTGCACCATTGTACATTCCCACCAGTAGTGTATGAGAGTTCCAAATTGCTACACAGCCTCAGTAATACTTACTATCTGTCTTGTCACTTCTAGTCATCCTAGTGCCTGTGAAGTGGTGTCTTATTGTGGTTCTGATTGACATTTCCTTGATGGATAATGATGAGCATCTTTTCATGTGCTTATTGGCCATTTTTAATTCTTCTTTGGAGAAATATATACTCAAGTCCTTTGCCTATTTTTAAATTGAGGCATTTGTCTTTTTATTATTGTGTTGTAAGGGCTCTTTATGTATTCTAGATAAGTCCCTTATCAGATATATGCTTTGCAAATATTTTCTCCCATACTGTAGGTTATCTTTTCTTGATAATGTCCTTTGATGCACATGTTTTTCTGGTCTAATTTATCTATTTTTTTCTTTTGTTCCTTGTGCTTTTGGTGTCATGTCTAAGAAACCATTGCCTAATTCAAGGTCAAGAGGAGTTACACCTATATTGTCTTCTAAAAATTTTATAGTTTTAGCTTTTCTATTTAGGTCATTGATTGATTTTGAGTTAGTTTGTATATATGGTGTGAGGTAGGGATTCAACTTCATTCTTTTGCATATGGATATCCAGTTGTCCCAGCACTATTTGTTGAATAGGCTATTCTTTCTCCCATTGAATTGTCTTGGCATCCTTGTCAAAAAACAATTGGCCATGAATGTGAGAGTATTTCTGGACTATAAGTTCTAGTTCATTGATCTATATGACTGACTTTGTGTCAGTTCCACACTGTCTTGATTACTGTAGTTTTTGTAATATGTTTTGAAATTCAGAAGTGTGAATCCTTCCAGTTTGTTCTCTTTTAAGATTGTTTTGCCTATTCTTGGTCCCTTGAATTTTCATATGAATTTCAAGGATCAGCTTGTCAATTTCTGCAAAGAAGTCAACTGGGATTTTGATAGAGATTGTACCTAGAAGTTTAACTGAGGTTGAAGGAAAAAAAAAAAAAAGATAGAGATTGTATTGAATTTCTAGGTCAATTTAGGGAGTACTGCCATTTTAACAATATTAAGTCTCCCAATCCATGAACAAGGAATGCCTTTCAATTTATTTGGATCTTCTTTAATTTTTTTCCACAATGTTTTGTAATGTTCAAAGTATAAATTTGATACTTCTAAAAATGTAATCCTAAGTATTTTATGCTGTTTGATGCTATCATAAAAGGAATTGTTTTCTTAATTTTATTTTTTGTTTGATTTTTGTGCAACAATATTATATCCTGCAATCTTGCTGAATTTTTTATCTTTTTATTTTTTATTTTTTTTTGACAGAGTCTCACTCTGTTGCCCCGGCTAGACTGCTGTGGTGTCAGCCTAGCTCACAGCAACCTCAAACTCCTGGGCTCAAGCAATCCTCCTGCCTCAGCCTCCTGAGTAGATGGGACTACAGGCATGCACCACCATGCCCGGCTAATTTTTTCTATATATTTTAATTGGCCAGTTAATTTCTTCCTATTTTTAGTAGACACAGAGTCTCACTCTTGCTCAGGCTGGTTTCAAACTCCTGTTCTTGAGCGATCTGCCTGCCTCGGCCTCCCAGAGTGCTAGGATTACGGACGTGAGCCACCACACCCAGCCTGAATTCTTTAATTAGTTCTAATAGCATTTTAGTGGATTCTGTAGGATTTTCTTATACAAGATCATGACATCTACAAATAGAGATAGCTTTAAATCTTCTTTACCAGTGTAGATGTATTTTATTTCTTCCTTCCTTCCTCCCTTCCCTTCTTCCTTTCCTTCCTTTTCTCTCTCTCGCTCTTTCACTCTTTCTCTTTCCCTAACTTCCCTGGCTACAACCTCCAATATAATATTGAATAGAAGTTGTAAGAGCAAATATCATTGTTTTGTTCTGAATCTTAGGGGGAAAGTATTCAGTCTGTCACCATTAAGTATCTTGTTGTGTCATGGTTTTTGTAGGTTTTTAAAAATCTATAAAGTTTGTGGAGTGTTTTTATCATGAAGGGATGTTGAAGTTTGTCAGATGCTTTTTCTGCATCTATTGAGATGATCATGTAATTTTTTTGTTTTTTTGGTATGATGTATTCCATTAATTTATTTTCAGGTGTTAAATCAACTTTGCATTCTTGGGTAAATCCCACTTGGTTCTGGTACATAATCCTTTTTATGCTGGATTTGATTTGCTAGTATTTAGTTGAGGATTTGGGGCCCCATATTCATAAGAAATATTAGTCTGTAGTTTTCTTTTGTTGTGATGTCTTTGCTTTTGGTATCAGGATAATGCCAGTCTCACAGAATGAGTTAGGATGAATTTCCTCTGTTTTTATTTTTTGGAAGAGTTTGTGAAGAAGTCCTATTAATTCTTTAAATGTTTGGAGAGAACTCACTAGTGAAACCATCTGGGTCTGGGAAATTTTCCAATTACTAATTCAGTTTCTTTACTTGTTATGGGTTCATTCAGATTTTCTATTTTTTCTTGAGTCAGTTTTGGTTGCTTTATGTTTCTAGGAATTTGTTCATTTCATCTATGTTGTCTAATTTGTTGGCATATAGTGGTTCATGGTATTTCCTTATAATTCTTTTTATTTCTATAAGGTTGCTATTAATGTCCCTTCTTTTTTTCTGATTTTGGTAATTTGAGTTTTCCCTCTTTCTGCTTGTGTCTTAAGTCTCAGTTTTCTTTTCTGTAAAATGGGTATAGTAAAATCTGCCTTGCAGAGTTATTGACATGAGCAGTGAGTGCTTCTCAAACTTTAATGTACACATGAATCACCTGGGATCTTATTAAAAAACAGATTCAGTAGGTTTTCCATTTCTGATGAGCATCCAGGTAATGTCAATACTGCTGGACGAGGGACCACACTTGTTTCTTGGTGTCCTTCTGGCTCTCAGTTCTCTTGGGACAAGTGTTCATTAGGATCGCCTTCTGTCACTTGCAGGATCCATTGTCCCAAGATGCTTAGTGAATTTCTCTCCAGGCCTGTGGGAGAGGAAGATGCCCCCCTTCCTCCCTTGTCTCTGCCTTCTCTGACCCGTGTCCTTTCCTCTCAGTGGACAGCTCTGTGAGATCCCTCCCCACCCGCCTGCCTCCAGGAGCCCCTGTGAGGGGACTGAGTGCCAGAACGGGGCCGACTGTGTGGACCAGGGCAGCCGGCCCGTGTGCCAGTGCCTTCCAGGCTTCGGCGGCCCCGAGTGTGAGAAGTTGCTCAGTGTCAACTTTGTGGATCGGGACACTTACTTGCAGTTCACCGACCTGCAGAACTGGCCTCGGGCCAACATCACACTGCAGGTGTGTGCCCAGGGGATCCAGTCACGGAGGGGGTCAGGGAGCAGGGACCCTGGTCTCAGGCCAGAGTGACAGATGTGCCCAATGTCAGATGTGCACAATGCCCAGGGGAACTGGAAGGACCCTGAGTCAGTCCAAACTCTGTGGACGCGGTATCAGGGTCTCAGCTGGAACCAGTTTAAGCACCACTGGAAGGGTTTCTGAGTCAAAAAACCAGGGCAGGGTGGAAGTGGCCCCATGAGTAACTGGACTCAGAAAACCAAACTTGCCACAACCCTCTCCCACCGTCTCTTGTCTCAACTAGTCCTCAGCCTCCGTGTCTGGTGTGGCAGACAGGCCTCTCCCCGTGCCGGAGCAAGGCCAGCGTTAACTCGGGCTTACAGCTTTAACCACGTGTCCCTGGGGGCCTTAAATTGCCCCTTTCATGTCTTCAGTTCCATCTCAGAGCATCATCACGTTGACAGGGGGGGGGGGGAAGCAAGTCGCACTTCAACAACGTGGATGAAATAAATAGATATTTTGGTAAATATTTTTGGGAGAGGAGAGGAGAGTGGATTGTATCACACATCTCATGATAAAAAATTTTAAACCCTTCTTTAGTCATTTTGTCTTCCCCAAATTCCATCCTCTGTCACAAACACCACATCTTTCTTGTCCTCTTTTGTCCTCTTCTCCTTTTTTCTTAGAGCCCTTCAGCCTCTCACACGTGTCATTCTGCCCTTTCCCCGTCAGCTTTCCAACATCCTACCGCTACACTGTCCACACAGCCAGACAGCGGCCAGCCTAACTGCTCAGAGAATCAAGCTCGCCAACACCTTAGCCAGCCATGGCCTCCAGGGCATCCTATTCTTCCTGATCTCCCCTAGGGCCCGTCCCTAGCCGTTTAAAGGGGCTCTTCCTTGCCAGCTCTGATGAGATCATCTCAGGGAAGATCTCTGATTGGCCTGGCTTGAGTCACATGCCCATTGCTGAACCAACCACGGAGTCCAAGGAGATAGGGTGGTATGATTGGTCAATCTAGGTCATGTGCCCACCTCTGTAGACCAGAGCATTAGGTCCTTGCCAGAAGAAAGGGAGGGACAAGGACAAGGCAGGAAAACATGACCATGGCTCCTATAGCATCTTAGAGGGATCTCCCTCCCAAGGCAAAGCGCCAAGTTTTGCTTGCACAGTTCGAGTGACACTACCTCCTGAGTGGCTCCTTTCTGGCTCGATGGCTCTGGCTGTCAGAGAGGCTTCCTGAACGTGTCCTCCTTGTGGTTCTCACCTTGAGCAGCCAGCCCCTGGGACCCACAGAACAGGCTGCCCACACCCGAGAGAGCGGCCCCCATCTCATTTTCCTCTCTGGGAAGATCACCCTGAGGTCTCTTCCTTGCTCTTCCTGGCACAGAGCTTCCAGGCTTCAGCTGACCCATTGCCCTCCCCTGCCCAGCCCTGGCTACACTGGCAGTGGATGGCATTGGAATCAGGGGCTGCAGGTGTCACTGCCCCTGGAGGGCTGTCCCAGGAGGCTGGCCAGGCAAGGAGCACAGTTCAGCATGCAGCATCTCTCTTCCAATCTCGGGTCCCCGGTCTGCCCCACCTGCCCTGCTGTGCTGCTGCTGGTGCTGCGTGGGGTGGGTTGGGAGAGAAAGTGCCATTGTCCATCAGGTCTCCACGGCAGAGGACAATGGGATCTTGCTATACAACGGGGACAACGATCACATTGCAGTTGAGCTGTACCAAGGCCATGTGCGGGTCAGCTACGACCCAGGAAGCTACCCCAGCTCTGCCATCTACAGGTAGGGCTTCCTCATGCCCACCCTTCACTCTGAGGGCTGGGGACTGCCAGGGCAGGGGCTCCTGGGTCCAGAGCAGGTGGTTATCAAGACCACTAGGAACCTGCCGAGGGGGAAGGGCATTTGAACCAGCTGGTTCAGCGCTAGCCTGGATCTATGACTCTCTGCGGCTGAGCTGTGGCCCCCTCCCTCCCATCTCACCACCTCCAGGGGGCTCCTTAATGGGGAAGGCCAGACTGGTAAGCTGGAGACCCCTGCCCTAAACTTCTCATCCTGCCCCAGGGAGTCTAAGAAGGGGAGTAGGAAGGATCAAGCTACAGGTCACTGAGCCCCACAGGCCCCTTCCTTAGAGATCTGGTCTCAGCTGGGGAAGGATAGTCCAAACTGAAGCCCATTCCCTGGGGTGGGGGAAACCATCTTCTTCCAGTGCTGAGACAATCAACGATGGGCAGTTCCACACTGTCGAGCTGGTGGCCTTTGACCAGATGGTGAACCTCTCCATTGATGGTGGCAGTCCCATGACCATGGACAACTTCGGCAAACACTACACGCTCAACAGCGAGGCCCCTCTCTACGTGGGAGGTGAGGACCTGTCCCGGTGGAGACTGCAGCTGTCCCCTCTCAGGCCTCTGCATCAGGCCATGGTGACCTCTTTTGCTCTCTGGCCTGAGGCTGCCCAGGAGAGCTGGTGCCAGGGACGGAACTGTGGGAAAATGCCAAGGGGTGGGGTCCTAGTGAGTGGCCAGCTACTGGGAGGTTGCCACCCCCCTCCTGGAGCTCAGGCTGCTTTCTGCCCGGAAAAGAAGGACTGTGACTGGTTGTGCCCAAGATCCGACCTAGGAGAGGGCCTGGAGCTTTCCTGTCTTTCCCACCAAGGGCATCTTTCCTGGAGCTTTGGGCCAGAAGTGGCTTCTCAATTGTTCAGGGGCAGCTGGGTGTTTGTCTCTACAAAAAAATAGAAAAAAAATATTAACTGGGCATGGTGGCACATGCCTATAGTCCCAGCTATTTGAGAGGCTGAGGCAGGAGGATCCCTTGAGCCCAGGAATTTGAGGCTGCAGTAAGCTATGATGATGCCACGGCATTCTAGCCCAGGCAACAGGGTGAGACCCTGTCTCAAAAAAAAATTGCTGGGGGTCTATTCCCAGTGGGCCCAGAGCCACTGCAAGAGACTCAGGCACAGAGTCCCTGCATCAGCTGGGACCTCCTTGGCTGGCCTTGCAGGCTGTGCAGGCTGAGTAATGCCTGAGAGCATTTCTAGGTAGCGATGAGGGAAGCTTCTGGATGCAGCAGGGCTGTCTCAGCACTGGGGTGGGGAGGGTTGCTGAGACTTAGGGCCCCTGGGTTCTAATCCCAGCTCTGCCACCTACTAGTTGTACACAAAAGCAGTGACAAAGTACCGTATGCATGAGTTCTAGGCCGTGGTCTTTTGCTACAGTTGGGGTCTCCGAGAGGTCAAGGCTGGTGTCCCAGAGGGAGGGAAGGAGCCCTGGGTGAGCGCAGCCAGACATCTGGACCAGGCACCCATCAGCTGGCCACTGCCGGCTGTAATCACAGAGGAAGCAGCTTTTCCATTTCTTCTGGGAATGGAGTCTGGGCCCTCCAAGGTGGCACAGGACCTTGGCTCAGGGTTGCAGAGACAGAAGGACAGAGGCCAAAGGCAAGAGGGAACACTGTGGAGCTGCTCCACAGACCCCAGAGGCGGGTGCCAGGCATGGCCCAAGCCCGACTCAGCCGAGCTCTGCCCCCACCCCACACCCTAGGGATGCCCGTGGACGTGAACTCGGCCGCCTTCCGCCTGTGGCAGATCCTCAACGGCACCAGCTTCCACGGTTGCATCCGAAATCTGTACATCAACAACGAGCTGCAGGACTTCACCAAGACACAGATGAAGCCGGGCGTGGTGCCCGGCTGTGAACCCTGCCGCAAGCTCTACTGCCTGCACGGCATCTGCCAGCCCAATGCCACCCCGGGGCCCATGTGCCACTGCGAGGCCGGCTGGGGGGGCCTGCACTGCGACCAGCCAGCCGATGGCCCCTGCCACGCCCACAAGTGAGCCTGGGATCGCTGAGGGAGCCCCGCCCCCACAGGTCTCCTTCCCCACGGCCAGGCCTGCCCCAAACTAGTCTTCAAACCCCTAAATTGGAACATGTGGTCCAACACAGGGTTTTGCTCCTTTTACCTGGTTTTCAGTTTTTATTAACAGGAAAAGGTCCATAGGGACAAACAGAATCACATTTCACCCCCTTTGTTTAAACCTTGGGAACAGAGTAACGTTCCGTGAAGCCAAGGCGGGGCGGTGTGGGCTACCTTGGGTGGCCTTGGATCGGCCGTCCTCACAGTGCCTTTTCTCTGTCCCTCCAGGTGCGTCCACGGGAAATGCGTGCCCCTCGATGCGCTCTCCTACAGCTGCCAGTGCCAGGATGGGTACTCGGGGGCCCTGTGCAACCAGGCCGGGCCACCAGCAGAGCCCTGCGGGGGCCTGCAGTGCCTGCACGGCCACTGCCAGGCCTCGGCCACCATGGGGGCACACTGTGTGTGTGACCCTGGCTTTTCAGGCGAGCTGTGTGAGCAAGGTCAGGGCCCCCCTCCTGATGTGCCCTCCCCGGGGGCCCCCCACAACCTGCTTTAGTGACTTAACTCCTCCTCCCAACCTCAGCAGCCTCTCTGTGTCCCCCCAACATGCCTCAGGGTGTTGGGCTTTTGGCGTCCCCCCGCCCCTCTGGGCACTGAGCCCCGCCCTCCCCAGCTGCCCTGGCCCAGCTGCCCTGGCTCCCTTACCCGGGTGTGTGCTTTGTCTGGCTGGGTCGCTCCTTACAGAAGAGACCACCCAGGGTAACAGCTCCTGGCTAAACCTGCACATCTTGGCCCCCTCACCGCGGGAGCTGGGTGCAGCAGGAAGTCCGAGGGTTGGGGACTCCTCGCAGGCCCTCCCTGGCCTACTTGACCAAGATGCTTCTGCGGGAATCGAGACTGCTAAGGCTGGCCAGGGAGAAGCAGAGAAGCCAGAACTCAGGCACCCTAAGGGTCCCCTAGGCCATACCCTCCCCAGCACGAGTTCCTTCCGGGCCTCCAGCCTCTTCTTGCCACTCTAGCAACGAGAGCCACCTCCCCGGGCAGCCCAGTATGTCCTAGAGGGCCCTGGCAGCAAGGAGGGTCCTCCTTCCCACTGACCGGACCGTGGGCCTCAGAGGACGCGTGTGCATGACGGCGGGCGGCGGGAGGATGCGGGGCCGGGGGCTGTGAGGGCCAGAGGACCCGCCCGAGGATGCTGCCCTCCTCCTCCTCCTCCTCCTCCTGCTCCTCCTTCCTCCTTGGGGGCAGCAGCTGGCCGGTGGCTGTGCCCTGAGGCTTTCTCTTGGTGTCTGTCCCATCCAGAGTCCGAGTGCCGGGGGGACCCTGTCCGGGACTTTCACCAGGTCCAGAGGGGCTATGCCATCTGCCAGACCACGCGCCCGCTGTCGTGGGTGGAGTGCCGGGGCTCGTGCCCGGGCCAGGGCTGCTGCCAGGGCCTTCGGCTGAAGCGGAGGAAGTTCACCTTTGAGTGCAGCGACGGGACCTCCTTTGCCGAGGACGTGGAGAAGCCCACCAAGTGTGGCTGTGCCCTCTGCGCGTAGCCGCGTGTGGACCGGGTGGGGCGAGGGCGGGCGAGGGGGGCTGGACCAGCGGCGGCAGCGGAGACGGTGGCGGCAGCTGGGCTGGGGGTGCAGGCCATCGCCAGGACGGCTCCTGGCAGCTGGGCCCTCTAGGGCGGGTGGTGCCAGAGAGGCCTTTGGAAAGCAAATCGCGCCGCAGCTGGGGACAGAGGGTGGGCGAGGCCCGAGCTGCGGGCTGCCCTCTCCGGAAGTGCCTTTCACAGAGAGGCGCTTAATAAATATTTGTTGAATGAATGTGTGTGTGAGGTCAGGCCAAGAAGTTCAGAGTGGTGACACCCCTCTTTGCTACCTGGGTCTGAAGAAGGGGACCGACCCCTCCCCTAACCAGCCCTTCCCTCTGGCCTGTGGCTCAGGCTGGCCTGGAGCTGGGTCCCCAGCCCCTGAAGCCCCTTCCCTGTCTACAGATAACTTGGAAGTACTCTTACCCCCGGGGCAGCCAGCCTGGCTCATTCCACTGCCATTGCATCTGTGGGCGGCAGGCCAGGCTGTGAGGGGAAGGGCCTCCTCCTGCTGGCCAGGAAGGGACTGTCCCCTGCCCCCTGGGCTGACTGGCAGTACTGCAGCAACCAGCTGGGAAGGAGGCTAGGGGTGGAGGTGGCTCTTAGGACCAGGCCTCGGCATCCTAAAGTTACAGGATGGGCGCTGTAGCTGCAAGGAGGGGCTTACGTGCAGGGAACAGCCACGGGGGCTGCTTGGGCACAGACCCCCAGCAGGGCAGGGGCTCTTGGCTCCAGCTGAATAAACATCACCAGCCTCCAGACACTAGCCACAGAGGGCCATTGGGCCTGGGCTTCCCAGCCACCAGCAAGCCACAAGCTGTCAGTGAGCCACTGGCAGAGGGACAGGGTGTGGGGGCTTGGGTTAGGCTACTTGATGGGTCCAGAGCCCTTTGCAGGCCTGTGGGGAGCTGTGGGAGGGACGGTGGGCCAGGAGTTAGGACGTGGCCACTGGCTCTGTCACTCTAGGGACACTTTTCCCCTGGCCCTCGGGCTCCCGTGCTGTAAACTGGGGAGGTGGCGACTAAAGGCGCAGGGCAGACTCTCCCACTGCACTGTCGGAAGGAGGCGGGGGTAGGAGACCCGTTTTCACTGATCACATCAGCAAGTATTTAGTGCCTAACCCGGGGCTGGGCACCATGGTGATCCACCCTGATGGACAGAGCTGAACTAACCCCGGAGCATCGCAGGAGCGGCCAGGACGCCTGGGAGAGAGCTGAGCCGGGCAGGGGCTCCGGCCACAGACCCCGGCCCAGGCTCCAGCACCCACGCTCCGTGCTAGTGATGAAGGACTCGGTGTTACATGACCGTCTGAACACGGGCCTTCTCGTCCATACAGAGTGGAAACGTAGAAAGATGACTTTTGAGCCCAAGTAGTGAGTTGGCTGAAGGGAGGAAAAGTCACACTCTTTTTTCCCAGATGTCTTTCCAACAGCGTGAGCCCCTAGGGAGCCCGGGGGGAAGGGAGGTGCACGTGTCCATTCCCTGGGTCCTCCACCTGCAACCCGAAGGCAGGGCTGGGGGTGTGTCGGGCGGGCTGGAGGGGTTGTGTCTGCGCTCCACCCCGTGGGCAGCGGGCAGCCCTGGTGCTGCTTAGCGGAGGGCTTGCTCTCCCGCGCACAGGGGCCGGCGGGTTCCGTCACACCAGGACTCAAGCCACAACTGAATCTTGGCATCCCTGTGACTGGCAGCGGGCCCCGCCCTGCCTGCCTGGGGAAGGGTCCTCTTGGTGGGATGTGCCCCTCACCCGGGGACTGGGCTATGTTTTCCAGTAGCTCTGAGCAAGGCCACGGTACCCACCCCCAGGGGACTGAGCAGCTGGGTTGCCCTGCACAACGTCCCTCTCACGTGCGCATTTCTGGGCCTCTGTGGGACCCCGGAGAGCAACCGCACCACGCTGAACAGGGCAGCAAAGCTCAAAGGCAGCCAGCTTGTCCCTTCCCTGGAAGGAACGTGTCCTGGGACTCACCTATCCTGAGAAAGGTGGCTTCCAAGGCCACCACTGTTCTGGCAAGGGCCAGAACCTTCTTCCAGGGCCACCACTGACTGTTAAGAGGCCTCTTCCCCCTCGGAAGGTGGAAAGGGCACTGCAGCTGGCGATGCCCATGCCCTTTGGCACCATGGGGATGGGTGAGAGGCTGGCGGGTGTGTTCCCAGGGAGCACGTGAGCTCAGGGCCACCCCAGCCGCCAGCCCAGCACAGCAGCACCGCTCCCCAGTGGAGGCGGGTGATGGGACCCGCCGAAGGGTGAGGTGAGAGCCGTGTGCCCAGGGCCAACCTTCCCTCGAACGTGGCCACCAGCCGGCAAGTCGCCAAGGACCTGAGCCATCAGTCAAGTGGCCTGTTCGCATTCAGGCCAAGTCCCGGAGGACGGCTCTCTCTCGTGACGCCGTCCCTCTGGGAAATGCTCTCCACCTCCTGCCCGCCATGGCGAAGACCCTCGGCTCGCTCTGCGCCTGCCGCTGCTGAAGGGACACAGCAGGGCACGGCCCACGGGAGCTGCTGCTTGGGCAGCGTCACTGGCGGCAGCACCGGGCTCCCCGCCAAGGTGTCGGGGAGTGGAAAAGGCCGGACTTCGTCTCCTCTTTGCCTGCTGTTAGCCTAACCGCGAAAGTGTCTCTTTATACAGAATACTTACAGATTCTAATATATATTTGTATTTCATTTTGTTATAGTATTTTTATATGTTAAAGTCAACATCCAGTGTCTCCTTTTGATTTTCAGATGCTCTGTGGTTGTGACATGCTCTGTTTGGGGTTTCTGTAATCTCGTTTGGATGGACTCTTGTAGAGACTGGTTTAGCACAGGCTCGTGAGGGAGCTACACCCGCCCTTTCCCTAGACGTATGGTTTCAGGATATGTCGATATTGTCTGTTGTCTTCCATGTGAACATGACATCGATTCACTCAGATCCTGCCTTGATGGTCTCTTTTTCTTCGCCGAGGTGAGCCAGCATTTCCCTCCCAGGGCACAAGGGCTTGCGGGGCCGACCACGCCCTGGCCACAGGCAAAGGCTGGCTCCAAGAGGCAGCACCATGGGACATCTTCCCTGGAACTCTCTGCTCATCCCAAAGTGGCAAAGGAGGCCCCTCTCCATTCCTCCTGAAGAAGGAAGGGGCTCCGGGGCCTGGCAGTGTGAGGCAGAGCTGGGCGGCCGCTCTCTCCCCTCCCCCAAGTGTCTGACATGACACTGACGTTCTGTGAGCTTGTCCACAAGCCACACCCATACTGAACCCAGCACTGACGGTTCTGGAGCATCAGGGCAACAGACTAGAAAACAGTGTGGCTTCTCAGATGTCCTGCAAGGCTGACTTTCCTGTCTCTAGGACAGTGGTTTTTAGGGATCAGTGGAGACAGGAGGAGAACACGCTTCCGCAGTGGTTCTATCACCATTTCAGACTAGGAAATTGCAATGGTTTTGTAGGATGCAAGATCTGCGTGTCAGGTGAGGCCAGGCCCTGGCAGACAGGCTGGGCAAGGTCCCTGCTAGTAAAGGGACATGACTGGCTCTCCTCTGATGCCAGGACCATGGACTGATGTGCCACTGGAACACGGGGCCAGGGCGACAATCACACACGCCACACCTTATCAGCACATGGGTCACCTTGACAGTGCCAGTGCCTTCAAAACAATTAGGGATTGTGGAGGAAATGTAATGAACAGGATGCGACAGAGAGAATGGGTTCAAATAGTGCTGTAAGCTCATGTCCCTGGAGTGGCCAGTACGTTACCTGCCAGTCAGGTGGGCACACGCCCCAGGCCCATCACAGGATTGCCACTTCCGATATGGCAGCAGGTACACAGACAAATTTCCTGACTGTAAAGAAAAAGTGACACATGGGAACTGACACAGGGACTGTGGTGACCTAAAGGTCACATTTTCTAATCTGGGTGCCAGCTGATTCTTACCATGAGCTGATGTGGTCAGATCTTCATCTTTTTTAATGTAAACAAATCTCACAGTTTTAAAGCATTTTTTTTAAACACTGGGCTAAAGGAAACACCTGTGGGCCACCAGTATGTAACTTCTGAGTTAAAGTAAAATCAGTGGCAAATTTCACTGTAAAAACAAAATCTTCAACAAAGAGAAACAGCAAAGCAAAACCCCCAACCCAACAAAACTCTAAATATATACCTGCATTAGTATACGTGTGTGTATGTACATGCAGGTATGAAGGAGAGCCGCAGGGAGGGAACGGGCACAGCACATGCTGGGGCAGCCGCCACTTGCCTCAGGATGGATGCGGAGGGAGGGAGGTCTGCTGTAACAACACAAACTCCTCACCTGAACACGCCGATCCCCCAGATTCACATCCAGAACGGCGGCCCGACAGCTGCAGGACGCAGTTCCGTGCAATGCTGGCCTCTGTCACGCGAGCTTGTTAGTGAAATCACAGCTCATCCCAGCTATCACTGGCCCACTGCTTCCTTAAATTGATCCACCTCAAGCAGAGTTGAAAGAATATAAGGAAACAGGCCACGGGGTAGCAAATGTCAGGGGCTTTATGCCACACTCCAGCAGGGGCCACAGAGAGCTGGGCTTGCCTGAGGCCGGGAGCTGGAACCGCACTGCTCCCTACACCTCGGGACGGGACACGGGCACCTGCCAACCCTGCCCTGGAACTCCCCACGCGTCCTCCATTGTGTTTTCTTGTTCCTGAAGCTGGGCGTAACTCACAAAGTGATTTATGATTTAGGTTGGAAAGCAATAATGTTTGTTTAAGCCCCAGCACCTGGCTGGGACAGAAGCGTTGCTTTATGGTTCCTTCTGGCAACTCATCAGCTTTGCACAGGCTGTGAGGTGAATGTCTGGCTCCCGTGCGTTCTGTGCCCTCCCCAGTGATCACGCACACACACACGCTTTCGTATCAAAGAAGTTTAATATGCTGCAATAAAATAAGCGCCTTGGAAAAGCTCATGGAATAGATGTCAACGCTAGAGAATCCCCTCCCACACCTCCTCTGGCTCCACATCCCATCCCTCAAAACCAAACAGGAGAATCTGAAACGACACAGGAAATCCTTCCAAGCTTGGATTTCAGCGAGGGCCCCTTTACCAATAACACAGTTTCCTACATGGACCAATAGGAAAGTAAAACACAGAAGCACAAAAAGTCTACAGGATTCAATATTTAAGAGACTTGGTACATATTCAAAGTTAAAATAACTCCAACTTTTATAGCTATACATTATTGTTTTAAAGCAACTTAATATATCTTTAAATTTCATATATACACTCTCAAAGGTTCTTCAGGTGAGGTATGTAAACATTGTCTAATGAAAAATTTTCAATGTTTCAAACCAACAAATTCACAGCATACATTGAATTTTCATCCATTAAAGACACAGTATATTCCTACACTCGCTAACATAGTGGAGATCCAGGCCCAAGAGATACACACTGATCTTCCGGGTCACCATCTGCAGAACTTCTCATGTCACTGCTCTCGGAAAGACCACCTGCACGCAGGCCAGGGGCACAGACTTGGTACCAGGAGCGGGGCTAGGGCCTCCCAGAGGCCCCTGTCCTTGGCGTCTGGATCACTAGCTAAGACTCACAAGACAGCAAAAAGGAGCACATCTGAACAACTACGAGATTGACCTCGGCAATGACAACACTGGGAGGAACCAGAAAGACTTTTAAAGGAACGGTAGAGATTCATGTTAGAGCTCCCTGAATCCACAGCTGGATCAGCAGCCCCTGCCCTAAATGCGTTCAGAAGGGTCGTGGCCTAAAAAAGAATAAAAATCCAACATGGCACCTGAGCTTCAGTTAAATTGCAAGGGCCTCCTATGACTCCCTGGCCCCTCAAAGGCATTAACTCTAGCCTAAATTAGGACCCTGGGCTGTGCTTTTCATACAGGTTGGGGTTGAATTTCTTAATACCATAATGTATATGGGAAAATAATGCCATGAGTTCACAAAGATGACCAATGCTTCCACACAGACATTGGCCAATGACCTTGGAGGAGCTCAATTTTGAAAACTACTTGTTCCCTGAGGGTAAACAGCAGGCTTCTATTGAGATTAAGTGAGGCTAATAAGGGGATTTTTAATACAAGGACTTGGGGAGCCTCAGGCCAGAATTCTATTTTACCCCCACATAATATACAATGCCCCTCCCCCACCCCACTACAAGAAGTAGTCACCTCCCCAATGATACAATATAGGTCAATTTCTTTCCTCTTGCTTGCTTTTGGGCTCAGCAATGGAAAGTTGCATCCTAATGCACCCACTTCAATCTAAAAAAACACTAGTGAAAAATTCCAAACACCATCATAAATACAAAAGAGAAGACATATTCCAAAAGTCTAAAAAACTACATTACTTCTATTAATGGTTATCTGGGTGTGGGGTATTTATTTTTCACAAAGTTTAGGACGGTCACAAGGAGAGGCTGCTAAACAGCTTTAGAAATCTGTTGAACTAGACACGCTGGGAGAATGGAAGAGTGACTGCCATCTTTATACTGACCTAAATGGTTTAACCCCAGACACAAAGGGGGTTTTAGGCATTTTAAGTCCAGACACAGGGGAGGCTTACAGGAAATGGGCTAGCTTTTAAAGGTAGGTCAAATATAGCCAAAGGGCATTTAACTGGCCACTTAAATTTCTAATGTAAAAAGTTCTTACACTTACTCTATAGCCAAATGAGCATTGCCTCTAGTTGACTCTGAAAACCCTACCAATTCATGGAAAATTGCTAATTTTTCATTCTATATGCCCAATTTTGATGTGTCTAGTGCTGGTAGATTTCGCATCTATTGCTAGAGTTCTATGACGTGAAGGAGCGTGCAGATAAACAGAAGCAAAAATTCAAGTACAGCAACCTCTCCAGCAAAGGCAAGAGGTCTTAGCAAGAGCTGTTCTACCCCCACCCTATCCTCTGAGACAAGGGCCAATGTGGGCCCAGAATAAATGTAATCATCTAGGATCTTATTGCTTATGGGCAACATATCAGAAAGAACACCTGGAAATCTGCTCTGCAGATCTGGGTACTGACCACTGACCAGTTTATCATACATCTGTATATATATATAATATATAACATAACCAGATGAGAAGAGGGGGCAGTTAAAGCTTAGATTTGATGTAACATTACAGATCAAACACCCCAAACAGCTCTCAACCTGCTGGTTTTTGTTCTTTCTCCATGTGTGAACTGTGTTATGAAAGGAAGTCCACTGCTCAAAATATATTCTTCTACAATACTACAATGCAAACCAACATCACTCAGAACATGAATCTGTATACAGCACATGTAATAAATATTTTTAGAAAACTATTTACATTACTTCTTGTGAACATTTAGATGAGAGCAAAATTTATTAACATTTCTTCCTGCAAAGTTACAAAAGTTTTGACTGTCTAGTTCAGTGCTAAATTCCCTGGCACCTAGTTACCCATTCACATTTCACCTTAAAAGCAGATTTGCTTACAAATAATATCTTAGAAAACATTCTCCAGCATTACTCTTCAAGTGTCCTCATCATTTGTTTAGAAAAGACAAAGGAAGGCCATAAGGAAATATGCAAATTATGGTTCAAATGGGTGACAAAACCCTATGTGAGCCTAGTCCAAAGCTCCATGTAGTTCTGTAGTCCCAGAGTTGCAGTTTTCAGTCCAGCCAGCCAAGCACAATGAGGAACGTGACTCAGACACGGGTGCCCAGGAAGGAGGAACATAATCAGAGAGCACTGGTTCTGTTTCACCTAGGGGTGCTCTGAACTACAGGCCAGGACTCCTGAGAAGTAAAGCCGACCACATCTTAGAACAGACGGTCTCATTCTGTAATCACCAGTTACAGAGGCACCGGCCCACATCTGCACAGAGGCTTGCTGAGACAGGGAGAGAGGAGGAGGAAGAGGAGGAGGAGGAGGAGGAAGAAGAAGAGGAGGAGGAGGAGGAGGAGGAGGAAGAGGAGAGCTACTAGGGCACTCACGAATATCGTCAAGGTGCAGAAAACATGCTTATCTCCCATGGTTAATGCGAGTGCGAACAGGTGCCTTTCACAAAGGAGAGACTAGACACACACCTTAACACTTTCTTTAGGCAACCAGTGGTTTCTCCATATCTCACAGGTATGGATTTGGATTTCCTTGGGGCTACAACTAAGGCTCATTTCCCTGCACAGGCTGTTAGAGTGTACCAGCTGTGCTTGCAAGAAGTGGGCTGTGCGACGCAAGCCCTGATGCCATGCCTGGCACAGCCACACCTCCTATAGGAGTCCCACCTTGCTCTGGGACAGGGTGACAGTGGGACAATGCGCTCACTCACATCTGCCCAAATACAGCAAGGGTTTCAAGGCCACATCCTTTTGCCTTCACTGTGTTGTTTGGGGGCTGATTAGCTGAGCATGGTCGCTGGAAAGGATGGGTGGCTAGAAAGAACATTTTTTTTGAAAGCCCTTTTGACAGTTAATTTTCTTGTTAAAATAAATACTTTCTATAGAAGCATTTGAACAGGAAAATATCACTATTTACACAGTGAAATAAATTCCACAGTGGTGTGTATAAATATTATATATGTATCAAGAACCACAGTCACTAACACAGTCTCCAAGAACTATTTAGAATGCAGAGACCACTAGTGAAATCAATAACCTTAAGCTATAGTGGCTCTAAAAATAATCCCTACCTGTGGTATAAATATACAAAATTATGCAAATCTTGTTTGTATAGTTTCTTTCCCACAAACTAACTCCCAGATACTGCAGCTGTAGCTACAAGACAAATATGAGGTGCAGATCATAGAAAACTGGGGTGAAAAGCTGATAAATTGAACAGCATTTGGACCCAAATGGCTAAATACCGGGAGAAGTAAGATACAGAGTTTGGAAGAGAAAAATGCTTCTAACGTGACATACGTGTTTTCAGGGAAGTGCTTGGGAGGAGGGGGGCCGTCCCAGAGAAGATGCCTCCTGGAAGGGAGCTGGTGGCAGAAGGGAAGAGTTAGGGAAGGTACCAAGGATGGCTCCTCAAAATGAGCAGGGGACGCAGGACAGTCCTTAACTGGCTCGGTGTGAAGCTGCTGGTGCTGACAAGGTGCCACCGCCATGCTGGTGTGTTTAAGACAACATGGGGACTGGACTTGAGGTTCAAACAGGCAAAGGCCAGCCATTTATGTTCACAAGCAATGACCAGGGCTTAGAGAGCGATAAACTTGCAAATATACTAGATACAAAAGAGAAGTGAAGGGCTCTTGGGGTAAAAAACTAACACACCCTGTGCTTTTGGGGAGAGGCACTCACTATTCTAAGCTTTAAGTTCACTAGTAAGTCACGTGTGTTGGGCACTGCTGTAGTGGAATGTCTCTCCACCAGAGTCGAGTTCACTCTGATTCATAAAAAATGAGGATGACTATACTTTTAGTTTAAAGGACTTTGTACTTTTGGTTTTAATTACATATCCTAGTAAGTATAATCACATGCACACAATTCATCAGCAGTCAATCAGCAAAGGAGGAGATATATTTTTTAAACGAACAAGCGTTACTCAGGAATGATGTGCAACAGCAGCTGTGCACTGAGATGAGCAGGCAAGACACTCTAAAATTTAGAATGCTTGCAATGCTGAACCACGTGAACAAAAAGATCCGTGCCTAACTGTCCACACCATTTGATTTTGAATGACTACTGCAAGGATCAGTAAACTTTTTCTGCAAAGGGTCAGGTAGTAAATATTTTAGGTTGCGTGGGCCACATAAGGTCTCTGTTAATTTTATTTTAGTTTTTTACGTAAGCCTTTTAGAAAAGGTAAATCCACTAATCCAACCCCTGGCATATTATAATATCATGAGTACCTGGTTATTTTTTTAAAAATAGGCAATCTATGCTTCCATGAGGCTTGCACACTGAGCACCTATGTTACATGGGATGGTCCCAGTCTGGTGCGAAAGCCGTGTGTTGTATGTGTCGGGCAGCATGACTGCACAACTGCCCCTTTGACGGTGGAGCAAACGACGTTTCCTGAGCTCTGAGCATCAACCACCAAGGCTCTGGGAAAAGGAAGCATCAGACAGACAGGAGGCAATGGAAGGAACTGGCCATCCTTGCTACAATACCAAGGGCAAAAGCCTGAGTAAGGACACCATTCATAAAGTGCCCAGGGTGGGTCCCAGGGCCCCAGGACAGCACAGCAAAGCCCTGAGAGCTCTGGGTTTCTGCCCGAGTACGCTTATCTCTAAAGGAAGGAGGTCAGACCATTACATCGTCTAATCTGTCCGTTGTAGGATACAGGACTCTGTTCTGATGTTTCAAGGGATAAATGATACTGCAGGCTGTCTCAAAAGGCTTCCCATAATTCTGCTTGTTTTAAATACCTTTTATTTTTTTCCCCTGAAAAGGACTTGAGAGCAAGCATGGGAAGAATACTTACTGCTAAGCTATGAAGACTGCCTTGCCCATGTGATATACATAGACACGATTTCATACTTTAAAAATTTCCAGTATTTTAATGGCTATTAAGCCATATTAAGACATACAAGTAATATCTAGGAATTCAAAATAATTACCTGTTTCAAAACAAGTGAAACAATCAGTGCTTTGGGGCCAATGACAGACATTTTTTCACTGACATGACATTCAACTTCATTTTGAAAAACAGCATAGAAACTTATCTTTGAGTTTTGGGTAGGGGGAAGATTGATACCTTGGAAGTTGACTGGATTTGATCTAAAGATATAATCCAGAACTTCTCAGCCACACTCAGGTCATAATGTGTTCCAATTTTTATCATTCTCTCTAAAGCACTTCAAAAGCCTCTATTTTTTATTTGTTGGCTTACTGAAATAAAATTATTTTCAAAGTATATGACTGAAAAGATATCAGTGCCAACACAGTTTTATTTTCCTAAAAGCCAACCAAAAATATTATATAAGAATAAATGATGCTTTGGGTTTGCAACCAGACTTTGCTTCCACCCTGTGAAAAGACATTTTCCATATCTAAATGTGATGTTCAGAGGACTAAAAGTCCAACCAAAGTAGTCTCAACTAATTTTAACAGAAAAAAGTCTTGCTTATTCTAATAAACAAGCAGTGAAACCAGGCTCAGTTCTGATTAAAAGCTATGTGAGTGACAGCCCTAGCCACATAACTTTAGAAGTCTGAGCCCCTATCTGCTCACGGGTTCTGGCTCTACAGGCTAAGGTGGCCTCATTCTGGCTACTGTGATGGGTGATTGAAGGAAGATGCAATGCTAAGGTAGTGCAAGTGTAAGGGATGGTAGTCCATGTGCTACTTCAGTATAACATGTCTCCTTTGTAGCAAGAGGAAATAAAGCAATGTAAAAAAAAAGAACAAAATTGGAACAAAGAGGAAGCGGAAGAGGACAGAGTTTAGAAAAAGAAATAGAAAAAGAAAAAGCAGAGAAGATTTATTCCTGAAAGAGGATTATTTTCTTAAGCAGGGACCAGCAGACTTTTAGGTCCAGATAGTAAATATTTTAGGCTTTGTGGGCCAACTACTCAACTCTCAACTCAGCCCTTGTAGCGTGAAAGCAGCCATAGACGATACATAAGCAAATGGGTGTGGCTATATTTCAATAAAATTTTATTTACACAAACAAGTGACCAGCCCACAGTTTGCAGACCCTTGATAGATTATCTGGAAGCCAAAAGGGAGCCTACAGAGGCTGACCTCAAACTAAAAGGAGCCGGTGTGTCTCCCTGGGCCACTGGCCAGCACCTTGAATATTCCAGCCCAGTCCTGGGTGTTGTGACAAGACCCAGACTTGCTGATGGCAACACTATAGTATCTCCAACTTGCATCACAGAGCACATTATCTTTTCCTACTTGACTTGTAGGTCCACTAATCAATAGGAATGCTGGCCATAAATGAGTGACAGCTTCCACTCTCACCACAGAATCTACCATAAAGCAGGCAGAAAAGAGGCCAAACCTCAATACAGAGTTAACTGTCTTTAAGCAATGCCTTCTACTGATGCCCTATCTGAACAGTGAGAAACCTGCCTGCACAGTATGTGATGCACAGAGGATCCCATTAGAAAGCACCACGTATGTGAAGGGATGACTTGGTGCACCTCTTCTATCCATGCTATTATAGGTATGAAAACCACAGCTGAAGATTACTGTTTGAGACAGGCTACAACAAAGTCTTTAATAAGGAATCCAAGGGGCTAGCGACTGCTGATTAACAGACTTGAATAACATTCCTATACAGGCAGCCTCAGGAGCAGAAGAAAGGTACGTGGCCTTCCAGCTACACTGCGAGATTGCTACACATCTGAGCAAGTGCCAGGGGTGAGGCTCAGAACCCCAAATGACGGAGTGGTCTCTGTATTGTCTCCCACACCCACAGAGCATCATGGGATAGAACATCAGTCTCCTGAAGAGGCCCAGCTCCGGGGAAGCTATGATAACAATTCAGTGATTGCTTCCCAGGCATCTTCTAGCTCCCTGAAACTCAAAGGGAATACCAGTGTCCTTTGGTCATCAACTCAGCTCCAACATTGGAACAGTCACTTCCCTGGGTGTAGGCCCAGGAGCAGAATTCCTTTCTGATATGGAATGGGAATGTGGGGTAGACTGCATTTGCTCCTGGTGGTAAGCCATATTTGAAGATGGCTCTAGGAAGGAGGTCTTTGCAAGGGAAGGAAAACAACGGGAGACTTGACTCAATACCAAGCCTGGACTTGGAGGTGTCTGGGAAACTGCTTTACCAGTTTACACCTATAGCAGATGCTCTGAAAGGGCCTTTCAGAGTTGGCCCTCAAGGTTTGTTTTCGTTTTTTCTTCTATTAGCAAAATTAACTGAATTAGCAAAAACGAGATTCAACAAATATCAAAATAATTCTAAACTTTTAAGTGTCCTAATTATGTAGAATCTCAGTCTATTTAACTGTCACTATTATATAGTGTAAGTAGATTTTAAAGATGATCCATTGCATTGTTAGGTGTATAAAATAAATACATACACATTGATACCTTTTCTCATTTGTAGTCTAGCTATTATCTTGAAGTAAGTTTTGAAAAATGAAAAAGGACTTAGGAAAGTAATGGAATGAATTATAAACTTGGAACTGGAAAAGTTCCACCCACTTACTATCTTACACCTCTCCCTAACCTAATCCAAGCACCTTACAAGGTAGTCTATATGCAGCCAAGAGGGTACCTCTTATGTACAGGAATCAGCACATCGGACATTGGCAAACACCAGCTGTTTAAGTCACCACAAAAACAATATCCAGTGACAACTATATGAAAAGATTTTTTTAACCTTAAAACCATTTTTTTAAGATTAAATGAACCAACTCAAAACATATTAATGCTTTTGTGCAACTTAATGCTGAGGAAAGGTTGCCAACATACACACTCAGCAGTTTCATTAAGATAGGTAGCTCTTGAATAGCCAAAGTCAAAGACATTAAAAAGAAAAAACAAAACAAAACAAAAAAAAAACAACACTTAATGGGATATAGAGGAGACATAAAAAAAAATCAGGACTTCATTCAAGATAGTAAGCTTCACTGTCCATGAAATTCAACACAATTCTAAACTTCTCATGAATCAAATGCTTTTGTCCAGTCCTATCCAATCATAAGTTTCCATTATATACAGCAAACCTTGAACAGAATGGGTAGAAGGCCTGTTTTATCATGATTTGAATAAAAAAAAGTCCATCTGGCTTTATCTAAAGAGATGTGAAACAACCTAAATGGAGAACTTTTTAATAAAAAAGGGCAGCAGCTGTCCATACAAGCTGATTTTGATAGCAGAACAGGTTAAAGAAGTTGGCTGAGGCCTTAATAACCAAGTCTTTTTTTGCAGAGCAGCCCAATGGAGATGTCAAGTACACACCGAGTTAGAACGTACCAACATCACAGGCACTAAGTTAAAACCAACGTGCCTGTCTCAGGCTTCACCCAGGAAAGGCAAACAACATCAATTACAAATACTGCAGTTCTCACTTCTGAGCCATGGGATGGAGGCTGACACGATATGGGCAGGAGTGATACTACAAAGCATTTAACTACTGGGATGGCACTAATCCATTCCAACGGACACCCACTCCAAACAAGGACATTCTCATTGCAGCACACCAGCTGACCATCAGTTCCGCGTGTAGGGGTGTGTGGGCCCCCTCGGAGATGCTGGGGCTGCTTCCTCCAGAAGCAAGGTTGCTCTGACCTTTCCATAACTTTGTGCTGTTTGGACCTTTCTGAGTCTGGTGTCAAAGTGGTACCGGGGATGCTCACAGAGACACTGGGCCATTTTAAAACCATCTGTCCTGTGCTTACTTAGCTCATGGACACCCTAAAACACTGCATGGGGAAGAAAGAATTTTACTGTAAAACTTGGATTGGGAGACATTTGTGGCTGATAACCGCATGCAAATGTACCCAAACACATGTGTGCACACACACACTTAAACTTTTCTCTTATTAGAAATAACGTTTTGGCTTTCTTTGAATATGGAAGTACTGTGGGATAAGAAAGAAAATAAGAACAGTCATTTACATCCTAATCATCAAATTACAGCTACAAGATAAAAAAAAAAATCCTACATTTTTTTCCCCAATGTAGGATGGAAACCTCATTAGAGTGCTAGCAAGCTTGCAAGGCCAAAAATGAAGAGGGTGGTGGAAATCAGTAATACAATTGGGGATGCAAATAATTTTTAGAGGTCAATAAACCAAAATTAATACTTGTGACATACCTCTTGTCCCATGGGCACATAATTTAGAGTACATGTTCTCAAATGACAAAAGATCAAAGGTGAGGGGAATGACCAACAATGACTATGATTTTTTTAAAGGAGGGGATAACAGAAATATTAATCTTTTATAATAATTATAAATCTTCTGCATTTTCCACATACCATAATGATTTGGTTTAGCTTTCAAATATCATTTAAACAAACAAACAAGACAGAGAGGGAAGTTCACTGCTGGGGTTTGCAAAGAGGGGCGTCTGTTCATGGACAGATACTTCAGGGTGGCTGCTGAAAAGCTCCTTTTATGTGCATGATGGTGGTCTTCTCGGCTACAGTACAAGTGCTTGTGCATCAAGTATAAAATACAAGCCTTTAATCACATAGATCAGCTTTTTAGCTTTTGTAAATTTAAAAACAAAAAGGATAAATAAGGCACTGTACTTTTAAAAACGAAAACTGCTTGGTTCCAAGTTTAAAACCCAAGGAACAACCAGAATATAATATATAACTTCCCTTACTCAGCCTCAGAGAAGGACTCTGCAAGTTCCCTTCTCCATCTGAGACGCATTTTCTGACATCTCAAATTGCGGTGTTCTCTGTGAACTGTAGATTTGAAAGGCTTGATGAGCTTATAAAAGCAGATTTAGTTAATGCAAAATAAAGGTTACGTCTATGGAACAGTTTTCCCCTTGGCTACCCTCCAATCACTTTGTGTCCAGCCGCCTCCTTTTGCTGCGGGAAGAGTCCAGCTTCGCCTTCAGCTTGCGCTTCCTCTGGGCCGCACTGCTCTCTGGGGTTTTCGGCAAGGGTCTGGCCCTCGTCTTTCCACTGCTCTGCTTTCTGTTGGTGGCTTTCTGGGGCCTGGAAGAGGATTCGCTGGCCCCTTTTTGCTTGGCAGGTTTTGTCAATGTTTCTGAGGCGGTGGGCTGGGCAGGTCTTTTGTTTGTATTTTCTTTTTCTTTCCTGGAGGAAGGGCAGCTCTTCCCAGGGGACTTTTTAGGGATCTTCACTTTATTCTCTTTCAAAGACATCTTTTTGGGCAGTTGGCTGATTCTGTCCCTTGCAGCTGGCCTCTTGGCAGCAGAGGTTTTGGTGGCTCTGTCAACATGCTTTTCTTTGCTTGCTTTCACCGCAGGACCCTTGTCCTTATTGTCCTGAGGGTTACTGCTGTCTGTTCTCTTGCGTTTACTCTGAACTTCTGCTTTAGGCAAGATTTCAGAGGTCTGCTTCCCTTTCTTTCCCTTCATTCCTTCAGTACTCTTGGGCTTAACAGGAAATCCATCCGCATTCACTTGCAGGGCAAGCTTGGGGGACATCAGAGGGTTGATGCATACGCTCTTACGACTCTGTTTACTTTCTACAGCCAGACCAAATGGGCTTTCCATTTTTTCATTCTTGATCAGACGCTGCTGGGCTCTGAGCTTTCCTCGAATATTGGAGTATTTTCTAAGGATCCGGGTGCTAGCTGGAGTGGGCAGGTTTGTGGGAGGATGGCTACCTCTATCTTCCTTGGCTTCCTCTGCACTGTCCTCAGAATTACGGCTGAGGCTGACATCGCTGCCATCCTCTGGCTCCACTTGGTCAGGATTCTCTCGAAATTTAGCCCAGAGTTTCTGCGTTTTCCAATTATTCCTAGCAGGAGTAGCTCCAGGAAATTTCTTCAAGTGCTTTTTCAAGCGTTCAGCCTGCAGCGAACTGGGATACAGGCTGGAAGGAGCGTACTTCTGAAGAGGATGCTTGACAGGCGGGATGTCTCCTGGAAGACGAGTATTGAGCTTCTTCACAATGACTAGAGACCGGGTTTCAGTTGTCTCTAAGAACCACTTACAAACATTAGATAATTTAAAGTTTGTCATAAACAGCATCTGAACAGGAGAGAACTTCTGAACTTCCAACGAACCTCTACATTTTCGTGACCTTTTCTTGCTCTTCCAAATCTCCTTCAGTTTATCTGACTTGTTCCTTGCCCTTGGTGTTGGCTGTACTTCCTTCTCCAATTGGATCCAGCCCTTCTGGACTTTCATGTACTGGGCATTGAAGTTGGCGATTAGCTCTTGGTTCTCCTCCTCAGCACACCACTCCACAAACTTTGGCTGTTCATCTACCACTGTGTCAGCATCATCCTCATCTAGGGGGTCGCTGCTCTCTGGAGCTTCACGTTCCTTTGGCAATGGGTTGACTTGTGCGGCTTCCTTTTCTGCAGTCACTTTTGTAACATCCAAGGGATCTGGAGAATGAGCATGTCTGAGGTTGTAGGTTGAAGATACCAACCTTTTGGGCCTTGGTACCAGTTTTGGCGGCTCAGCAGCATCACCACTTCCACTGCTCGATGACCCAAGCAAGTTGGATGGGGCGTCGCGGTCATCATCTTTACGCTGGGTGTCCTCCCTGTCTGCCTCATTCGTAACCTCCTCTGCGGCCGGTGCAGGGACGTGTTCTGGCTTCTCTTTTGTTTGTTCTGGGTCCCTCACGCAAGGGCTACTTTCTGAGGAGACACAGGTATTTTTCTCATCTCCCTTAGACTGAACATAGATTTCTAGTTTCTCTCCAGGCAGCGGCTGGCCAACTGTGGTTACAGGGTCACTGCTGGGGGAAATTGACCCTTCTTCCCCCTTGACTTCTTTTGCCAGAATGTTTTTAAGAGTCTGCCTGGTGATGACCCTGCCTCCTTCGTCCTCGTCCTCAGCATCCTTCTCAGGATTTGGGATTGACACTGGGTTTTCACTGACAGTTGGGTTTTCAGTGTCGTCTGGCGCTTCTGCTTGGAAACTCTCGGTTGGAGAGCCCTCAGGGGTCGTCCCACCAGGCTGCTCTTCTTTTTGAGAACATTTTGCACCAGGATTTTTAGAAACCTCGAGCTCAGGACAAGCAGAGAAAGAATCTGAACTTTGATTTCTTAGGCACCTATCGGCAGAGGAAGAATCTAAAAGTTGACTTCTTAGGCACCTATCAGAGGCCTCAGGGAGTTTTTTACCTTTTTTCTTCTTCTCCAAATTCTCATCAGATGAGTCAATGTCTGGATCACACATATCTTTTTCTGATGGACATTTTTCATCAGTGTCTTCTTCTGATTTTCCTGTACTACCCGCTGCCTCACTTTCTTCCATTTCACTGGGGTTTTCATTAGTAAAAGTGCTGCTTTCCTTCAACAGTGGGTTGGTGTCCAGCTCCTGAGTGTCTCTAGTCTCAGCCTCGGTACCGATGGTCTGGTCGTCCTCAGCCTGTCCCAGGCTCACAGGAGGCTCCAAGACCACTGGGGGACTTTGACTTTCTGAGCACAGAGGATTTTCTTCTCTACTGACTGTTTCAGGAGAAGAATGAGGCCCAGAGACATCTTCACTGCCTCCCCCAGAAATGCTTTCAGTAGAGAGAATAAGGGGACAGTCTTGGGGTACACTCGTCTCCTCTGTATCCAGCAGTGCAACTGGTTGTTGGTCTGGTTCAGGAGACGACATCCCACTTGCTGTGGGAGCTGAGATGGTGGAACTGCCTTCTGGCATGTTCTCTTCAGGAAGGTGAGCAGGTGGAGGACACACGAGGTCTGAGGCTGTTGTCTCCTTTGACCGAGGGGAGCTGCTTGGACTCAGTTCATTAATTACGGGGCAAACCTCAGGCTCTTGAAATTCTTTTTCAGATGAAACGTCTCTGCCTCCTTCCTTGAGGGAGGTTACTTCATTACTAGGTTCTTCAGTGTTGTCTTCTCTGGGAAGCTGCACATCTACTGTATGGTTAAGGGTTGAAATTGTAAGGGTCTGCTTGGGAGTGACCACTGCCTCTGATGCCAATGTTGAGCAGCCTGCTTTTTCCTGGGAGTATAAATTTCTAGCCAGTGTGCGAACAGTTGGCAGCTCACAACAATCACCATTGAAAAAGTATCCTCTGGTACTCTTTCTGGCTGTTTTCCGAGAACATAGTATTGATCTTTGATTCTCAAAGTGGCATTCTGTTATTGGTTGACTGATATAAACAACATCACACTGGTTATCATAATCATTTATTCTCAACCCTGATGCCCTTTTGCTTTTCCGAGCTGTCTTAATGGAAGTTGATATCATCTTGGTTCGTGAATGTCCATTAGATGCTTTGTGGACAGCTGGCATAGGGCTGGGGGCTAACCAACCATCTTTGGAATGATCAAACTGGCCCTTATCACTGGGGTGTAAATGATAACCCACCTTATTTCTTACTACTGGGTGAAGATGGTTCTCTTGCTTTGGCCTTGCATCTTGTTCATTTGCCTCTAAATCCTGGCACAAAGGTGTTTTTGAGCTACACTGTAAAGTGTTCTCTTTGTCAGCAGTTCTAGGTGAGTTCTCCATAAACCCTGAGTCCCAAGCCTCTTCTGATAAAGCTCTGAATGAATTTCTTTGAGAAACAACACAGCTGTTGCCCTCCTCACTATTCTCAGCAGTCACTTTCACTGTCATTAGACTTTCTACCAAAGCTGAGCTCTGCATATTATCTTTACCATCTTCACAGATTTTCACATTTGTGTCTTGCTCCTGTCCCGTGGTTTGCTCCTCCACGCTTTTAGAGATGTGGTGGAAGTTCGATGAGGAAGAATTAGATGTAGTGAGGTATCCCAGGGTAGAACTATCCGTTGAACTGCCAGAATTAGTTTTAGTGGTTGGAAGTTCAGAGGAATCTTCCTGGACAATAGTCAAGGCATTCTCTCTTCCATCTACAGAGTTTGTCTCAGGAGGAGGCTCCTTCGGGGTCTGTTCTGTCAACTGTAGAGGGCTGTGAGAGCCTGATGAGTCTACAAACGGATCTACAGAAGTAGGAGACTTCATATCGAGACACAGAGCATCTTTTTCCTTATGGCTGGTGTTTATCTGGGCACAGCCAGCATTGCAGGTGGACATATCCATTGCTCCAGAATCAGAAAGCTGCAGGTCCTCAGGGCCAGGCTGAGATTCAGCGTACAGGTCGTTTAGAACACGAATGAATTGCTTTTGATGATGAGTGCACAGTTTGACCATAAACTTCTCCAGAGGGGACTTCGACTGATTGTTAGAATCTACTGCTATTGCCTCTGTAGAGTTCTCACTAGACAGATAAAGAGAAAGAAGGAATTAGTTTGGCCATTCTCCAAAGAACAATTTTTACATTATAAAATTCACCAGATGTTTTCATACTCTGGCCCAAACTGCTTCTGAGGCTGCCCATATACTTTTGATTCAATAAATAAGGAGTATTTACCTAATTAAAATATAAGGTCAATCTGTTATATTCTTAATTTTTAGTGACAATATCCTTCAGACTTTTAAGTGATCACTCTCAAAAATATTATCTTCGAGAGAATGAATATTACAAATAAATTTTTTTCAAAAAAATAAAATTCTGGCCACATTATTAACTCCAGTTGGTCAACATATACTTTTGCTTTAGGCCAGGGTATTCCTATTAAATAATCATTGGTTGGTAAGTCCACAACACTGACAAAAATTCAGTACACTATACTATAAATCTTGGTTTAGAACTACTCAGAGAACTTATAGTTTTAAGATGGTTTCTCAGCATGACCAATTGGTTGGACTTTCTAATACTGCTAACAGTAATGCAGGAATCCTTCCTCCCTTTCCTGGGGCATGAAGGAATGGAAATGGAAATCAATTATTTCACATTTCAGACACATTAAAAGATGGAATGACAAGTCTTGATTTGTAGCCTCTAAGTGAGAAAATAATATGAAACCATACTGTAAACCGAACAGCTCTGTCAGTGCAAGGTAGTACATCTTCACACAAGCCCCACTTGTTACGTTCTTGCAGACCTTCAATACTCATTTTACAATCATCCACAAGAAATCACTCGACATCAAAGAACCTCTTTCCACCATTTCTGCAAGTTATCCAGGACAGAATTGCAGAGCTTAAGCCAGATAGTAGGGGTGGTTTGAAAGGATGCTACTAGGTTCAAGACAGGCTAAAGGTAATGCCTTAGACAGCCAAGGGTTTTACTAGCTGCTTAGTGCTTCTGGGTGTCTGGGTTTTACTGAGCCATGCAGCTGATGTGCTCTAATTTCCTGGAGTTTTATACAACTTCTCAATCCACCCCCTCCCAATTGTAATTCCTCAGGGGACTATTAGTTGACTAGACATGAAACACGGCAGAGCACGGAAGGCAGCTTAATAAGTATGTGTTAAATAGATGTTGTTTTGGTAATATTTTCTAACGAATCTTTTTCTTTTTTTTTCAAACTTTGACTTTTATCTCCCAGTCATGAGAGGCCTTTCAGGAATGCTTATCACCCCCTACCTTCCCAGCCTTCACTCGCCTCTGAACAGTGTGGTCATAATGGAAAGAGCACAGGTTGCAGAACACAAAAAACCTAGATTCCACTGTTAGCTGACAATTACTATCTACAGGATATTAGGCAAGTCACTTAATCTCTCTGAACCTTGGTTTCCTCATCTGTAAACTGGGACAGAATATCAGTATCTCAAAGGATTATGAGATATTAGATAACATACATAAAGCACAAAGCACAAAAGAGCAGGTACTCAGACAATTTTAGTTTCTCTGACCCTGACTCAGGGAGATTTTAAAGACCAGGTGGTGAAAAAGTTGCTGAAACATGTCTAAATACAAAATATAAACCCAAACCAAGAAATCAATTAGTCAAATCCATTGCTTAATCTAAACTGCTTTATAAGAGAGAAGGTTACACCGTGGTTTTTATTTTCACAACTAGCAAGACAGCAGTTTTACTCAGTGGTGCCATGGGTTTCTAAAAGGGCCTACCTTAGACCACAGATTGGAAAGACTAGAAATGTCTTAGAAAATGCCTACTTCAAACTTGACATTGATTACTGAATTGTGAATACACCAGGAAAAAAGATTAAAACAGCAGTATTACAAAAGGTGCATGTGTATGGTGAACTCTGAAGGACACCCTGGCAATCGGGCAAAAATGCACCAAAGGGAAGAAAAGACCAAAAGCAACTAGGAAAAAAATCCATATTAATGGTATACTTAATATATGTGTACTTATATCTGTATAGTGTACTTAAATAAAAGATTTTAAAAAGGTAACATCTGGAATAAGTTCCTCCTGCTGTGTGAGAATGGAAAATATATTTTTCCTTCAGAACAGGGAAGACACACTTGGCTAAGTGTCCACTGAGTCATTTCCAGCTCTCGGACTCAACGAGATGTACAAGGGAGCTCAGCAGACTCCTCATGTGGCTGCAGACTTTCCAGCTCATGGAGCAGACAGCAGGAAGGCCCCTGCTGAAAGACCCCTCGAGGAGTTAACTTTGTGGCTGTATCTATCAGGTGGTATCGACAGCATAATACGTGCTACAGGATATACCCAATAAGTAGTTCTGCCACTTACTAGATGTGTGACCTTGGCCAAAACACTTAACCATTTGGGGGCTTAGTAGAGCATCTGCCCCATCTACCACTTAGGATTACTCCAAGGAAAAACCTACAAAGTTTACCCAAATATCAGTTGCCATTATTGTCAGCCAATCAAATTAAAAATGCTTCAATGAAAATAATTCGGAGATTAGGAATGTGTATTGATGCTACCCTACAAAAGGGAAATTTTCTGGATAATTAAAGTTTACCTTTTAAGTACCAAATATTTAAAAATTTTAAACTTTTCTGATGGAAGTCTAAAAAATTACATCATCTCAACATAATTTATTCTTTCTCAATACTCAGGATCATTAACATGTACACTATTACTGAAGTTTGTTATTTTTATTACACTGAATTGAAATATACTGATAGTTTTGGGAGTTACTCAATTAACTAAATCTTGACTTCCTAAATACAAGAAAAGCCACAGTGGCACCCTATATTTTATTAAAATATTTCTTCTTATTGGCTTCCAAATAGCAGCCGATTTTAACAGTCCCACTTTTGCCTTTGGTAGAATACTTTTACTATCTGAAAAACCATCCCTAAGTGCTAAAATGGTATTTTAAGTAAAAATAAATAGGCTCTGAATAAGGGCTTGAGGAATAGTCTTATGAGTAAGTACATGGATTTTCTAATCACAACTTCAGCTACCCAGAGGCCGTTATTCCTCAGTTCCTGGTTCTTGGATGTTCTCTAGATGTTCCCAAGGTAGGTGACTACAAACAAGTGGGATGGATAGTACTGCCTTCTCAACAAATCAAGGACTGTACTTGAAGTGCATTTTAACAAAACACAAAAAACAAAAAAGGTTGACAAAGGTCTGTGAAAAAGATTAAGAAATATAATGTTATCTTACTATAGAAAAAACTGAACAGATAAATGGTTCTCCCCCATTCAAGAGGCGTAATCATTAAGTCTTTGCAGAAATCTTCTACATCCTACTTCATGCCTGTGGCTGGGCTTTGGAAGAAAGCTTTGGTGTTGGGGATCAACAATAAGCCTGGAGATGAACGAAATCAAGGCATGCAGGCAAGAAGAAGATAGAGTGCTATGAAGCAAATTGAGGAATCACTTTCCTCTGAAGTGATTTGCTATCCAGTGTTCTTCATGGTTGAGACACCTGGATCTGCTGCTGTCTCCCACATGTCTCAGTAATTTAGTAGTACCTCAATATTTTCATTACCCTCAACTAATATATGGTTTTCCAAAGGATCATGCAACCAGCCCTGAAGCAATGACTATGGCAATATGGCTAAAGCTAGCCTCCGAAAAACAACCATAGTAAGTATGTATGTATTTCACAGCATCTTGGCAAGGGGAGGGGGTGTTTTCACAACTAAGATATATTAAAGAAACATTATTAGGATCCACTGAACCTGTAACAAAGTAATACAGAATTTGGATACTAAAAAGTAGTAGCTTCAGAGAGGCTGACACAGGCTACATCAACCTTGAGAATCATTCGTTCATTTTTTTAGAGACAGGGTCTCACTGTGTCCACCCAGGCTGAAGGGCAGTGGCATGAGCATAGCTCACTATACCTTTGAACTCCTGGGCTCAAGCAATCATCCAGCTCAGCCTCCCAAATGGCTAGGACTACACGTGTGTGCCACCACGCCTGGCTAATTGATTTTTATTTTTTGTAGGGTCAGGGTTTCGTGATGCTAGGCTAGTCTCAAACTCCTGGTCTCAATCCAACCTTAGTATTAAAACATCAATGGCAATCTTGCTTGAAAGAAAATGACATCAACAAAAGGTCACTTGCATGTTTTCCTGGAGAAAGGATTGGGGACAATGTATCGGTGAACCACAGGTAACCATCAGAGCAAGAAGAAGCAGGGTGCTCTTATCAGTTCATCATTGGCCAGCTCACAACTATCCCACCTGGATTGGCTGCAGCCTTTCCTGACATCCTAAGCCACAGTGCTCTGTAAAATTCACTAACAATTATATGGGGCCTTGTATATTTATTCCGTAATTTTTATCTTTGACTGACTTAATTTTCTTTTTGCTACTTGACTTTAGGTTTGTTTTCTCCTAACAAAAAGAGAGGGGAGAGAAAGGGGGCATCTAAGATGCTTCCTGGGTTTTCTTCCTGGGCAGCACCGTTGGCTGAGATAGGAACAGAGGCAACAAAACTGGTGACTGAAGGTTGTTAGGGTGTGTATGTGTCTGATGAGTTCTGTTATATACACGTTAAGTTGAGATGTTTGTAAGTTTCTGAATCTGAAAGTCTTCATGTTAATACTAACCTTTGTCCAGGTGTCATTAAATGGCTCTATTATAATAGTTAACCTTACAACTATAGTAATAAAATCATTTTTGGCTATGCTCTTAATTATCCAGCTTCCTACTGTATTTTTTCCCAGAATTTTTCTCAATAGCACCTAAATTTTAAAGAATTTTATCATTTGAATATTTAATTTTTTAAATTAACCTCAACTTCCTTAAGTTTAATTCTATGACTATGGTGTTTTCATGTTTAAAAAATGGGTGTTGCCAGGTTTTCCTAAGTTTTAAACAGCTAGTCTTTACCTTTGCTTCTAGTTATGCAGTTTTTCCAATAGCCTTAGATCTTTAATAGAGTCTAAATATAGCACTTGCATTAATTTAGAACACTGTTAGGCAACTAGTAGGGAAATCAGAGAGAAGTGATTTTCTGTCTTGCAAACCAT